GGTTTGTTTTATTGGAACCTGAACCAATTTCTTTATCTACAATAAATTGACCTTCCATTTTATACGTAATGAATGTATTGTAAAGGTCCAACATATTTTCACCAGGAGGTGAGAGATTGAATGTTACCCATGTGTTATCTTTAGCAGTTCCAGGTTGTGATGGAATCTTTGCGTCAGAATATTTTCTATTAGTGTCACCAATTTGAACTGCATTGTCTATGATATCGAAATATGAGCGAATCTGATGAATATGCTCTGCTGGAGTAAATTCGTTTAGCTGTTCGTTCTGCATGTATTTACTTCAGATAAAAATATCTATTTACTTCATTATTCTCACTCTTCTTCTTGGTATTCGTGGTGGAAGTTGTTTCTTGACATTTTCAATGAACTGTACATTCTCTTTTGTCTCAACTTCTTTCACTGGCGGGTCAGGGTTCTTTGACTCGGTTTGTTTTTCAATGAAATTCACGAACTTTGCAATAAGCTCTTGGTTCGTTATTGAAAGTACATCTGGCTTCTTTTCTTCTTGTTCTTTGGTGGCTCAGTTTGAACAGAAGGTTTTATATGGGCTTCGTGGACTTCACCCTTGCCATGCACCTTAATGTTGTCGCTCTCTGCATTCGCTAATGGTACCTTTCTTTTTCTTACGTATATTTTACCATCTTTACTCTGACTTACGTAATAGAAAGGATGTTGTATTCCTCTTGCGTCATTTAATATAATAGACTCTCGCTCTGATTTTGACAAGCTCATTTTACATCGGTTAAAGTTTTAATTTAGTTTTTTATCTACAGTCAAATGACTCAGACAAGTCATATGGACAAGACCCAAGGGGTCATAGATGTTGAAGCATTGAAGACAGAAATTCGTGAACAAATTTTATCCGAACTGAAGGAACAAAAACAGACAAACAAAGCCAGAGAGACCAAAGAGAAAACTTAGTGAAAAACAACTAGCTGCATTAGCTGCTGGAAGACAGAAGAACCCACGTTTGCTGGCGAAAAAAGCTAGAGAAGAAGCAAAAGCTAAAGAAGCTGAAGCAAAGAAAGAGTAAATGGTTTATTTTTATCCGAATTAAATGTATAGACAAATACCTTTAACTGTTGCGTTCAGTAGTGAAAACCCTGACGTCAAAATAAAGGGGAACAGAGTAACGTTTAAGTTTCCAACAGACTGGATTGTGAACATAAATGAAGAGAAGTACATTGGCATAACATCTATGTATATAACACGTGCTTTCAGAAAGGTTGACTTTATACTTCAAGTCGAGATAGAAAATGACGAACAGTCTTTAAGCGCCCAAAACATTCACATATACAAATACTTTAAAGACGATACAACATTGTTGCAATGTATGATTTCATTTAATGAGATGTTCGAGAAAAAGTTCAATATTGAAGTACAAACTTTACAGCCTTTACGTGAGTTTCTTGCACAACTGAAAGAAGAAGGTAGTCAGCCACAACTTATAGACTTTCATTATGAATTTAATGAAAATGAAGATGGAACTCATGACTGTCAATTCATTGTATTCTCACCATTCAATGAAGTCGCTAAAAAGAAAGAAAATCCATTACGTATAAGATTTCAAATCTCCGAACCAAGTGATGATTTTAAGAATGTTTTCAATTATGATGCAATGCTTCCGAGGAAAAATGAATTTTCAAAGATTGTAACACCTGGCATTTGGGATAGAAAGCAAGCAATACTTTACTCTAATATAGCCAAAGGCGTTGAAAATGAGTTCATTGGTCATACAAGAACTTCACCACTTCCTAACCCTAAATACTATAAATTAACTGGCTTCAATCGTGAGTTTTGGATAGACATGTTCTCCACTCATGACCATAAATGTCCAGTGTTCTTGCCTCCAGATGGGAAGGACTGTCTCTACATTGAAGCACAACTCTTAAACTCTACCATCGCAGTATTGTAAAATCTACGCTAGCTTTATTTTTATCACAAATGACCTCATTGCTGACAAAAATAAGCCGCTAGCGGCAAGGGCGAAGCCCATGACCTCAGAACTTCAACTTACGAATAAAGCTTGTTTTAGTCGTTATTGAAAAGTTGAACTTTTCAGCAAAGCAAGGTTGACATGACTTACATAAGTCGAATGCAATCTCTTGACCATCATAAAGTGCTTTGTAAAGTTTCATTAAACTGAACTCAGAGTCTTTGTCATATGTTCCAACAGGTATGTGAATGTTCTTATCTTCATTGTAATAGCATTGTATAGCTTCAGGAAACATTTCATTAGCGGTTAAAGCAATAACATCTTGCTTCACGCCTTTCATTCTGCAGTGAAATGCAACTTCATTTAAATCATTCGTGAGTAAGTCTATGTAGGTCTTCTTTCCACAAAATATTGACTTGTATGCTAAACTTTGTTTTCCAGGTGTTATTTCTGCGAAGTCAGAATGGAACTGACCAAGGTTCTTTCCTATAAGTTCGCGACCGTATCTCTTCTTAAACTCTGCTGCAAGCTTTGGTATGTCTTCATTGAAAATATGCATGCTATCACAGTCCTGGTAAAATATTTGAAGACCCATGTCCTCTGCAGTACAGAATACTTCATTCATAATACGTTTTGACATAGACAGAATATTAACACCAAGTGGACAGAAGTTAAAGTGTCTGCAAATGCTTTTCGTTAGCTTGAAAATAGTTTTATCTGAACCATCCAAACCTTCGAACTTCACTATATGGTTGTAATTTCTTATAGCATATCTTATAGCATCTTTGTCATTTACTATGGTTATTTTTGACTCAATAGGAGATAGAATAGTTTTGCCATAAATGCTGTTCAGAATGAGTTTTATAATTTCTTGTAAGGGGTTTTCTTCTTTCTTATACTTTAACCTTAACTCAAACAACTTCTTTACTTCATCTCTTATTCTATATCTCTGTTTCCATCGTAATAGTATCCTTGCAACACTTCACATTTGACACCTTGATATTTTATGAGGTCTTGTAATGTTATATGGTCAACATACATGAGACAGCAAGTGTTTGAACTTCTTGGAACGTTAAGTTCTGGATTTAGTTCAGGGTCGCAAACTATTAAATGAAAGTGTCTGGGTATACCAATCTCTGTTATCTTAATGAGAACAAAGAAGCCAGACATAAACTTTTCACCAATGGGTTCCTTTTGGTCATCATCGAATAAATGTCTCATGAGATACTCTGTGTTTAACATTTCTTCCTTCAATACTTTTGGAATTCCTTCTAAAGTATAAAGTCTTGCTATAGCTGAAGGATATAATGAAACAGTGTCGAAGTCAGCAATGAGTTTCTTTTTGCTCTTTTGTTTCATGTTATCTGACAACATACATCTTCCACCTTGAATGCATCTCGAAATAAATTCTCTTGGTTTATTTGAGAGGTCATAAAGATTTCCATTCGGGAAGTATACTCTGTTCTCAAACAATTTGTTAGCAATAGAACAAATACTAACGTAGTCATAAACGTTTAAATCAAACTCTTTCAATAAGTCATTGCGGAACTTTACAAAACCTTCTCTTAAAATTCTTACATCTTGTTTGCAGTAAAACGTGCTATATTTTTCTAAGTCGAAGTGGTTTTTAGGTTCTTCAATAATTAATTAATTTTAAAGAACTGAAGGTGCTACCATGTTACCATGTGCTACCAGGTCATTTAACTTCTCTGAAAAAATGTGACAACATGACATTTTGACAACAACACAGGAGGAAGGTAGTTATGAATTAATTTTAAAGAACTGAAGGTGCTACCATGTTACCATGTGCTACCAGGTCATTTAACTTCTCTGAAAAAATGTGACAACATGACATTTTGACAACAACACAGGAGGAAGGTAGTTATGAATTAATTTTAAAGAACTGAAGGTGCTACCATGTTACCATGTGCTACCAGGTCATTTAACTTCTCTGAAAAAATGTGACAACATGACATTTTGACAACAACACAGGAGGAAGGTAGTTATGAATTAATTTTAAAGAACTGAAGGTGCTACCATGTTACCATGTGCTACCAGGTCATTTAACTTCTCTGAAAAAATGTGACAACATGACATTTTGACAACAACACAGGAGGAAGGTAGTTATGAATTAATTTTATTTTTTTATTCCTATATAAATGACAGCAACAAACAACAACAGCAACTATATCGTTTCTGATGAAAAAGTTATTGATTCATTAGCTGAGGAATTAGTTGTGGCAGAAACTAAAACCCTCAACGAAAGAATTGGTGAAAACAGGATTGATTTACATAACTACCTCAAACATGATGGAGGAAGAGGAAGGAAAACTGGTATGGCTTTATTAGTAAATAAAATATCAAATTTAACGATTATAGATGTTGATATCAATAAATCATACAATGATGAACTTAAAGAAACAGTTAGAAAAGACATTTTATCAAAACTTTCGGATAAAGATGTTATCGTTAAAACCGCTTCAGGAGGTCTTCACATTTATTGCAACACTAATTTCTTCTATGCAGTTTCGAACAGAATGATTAAATGTTATTCCTGCAATGATTATGATATTGATATCATGACTTCTATGGATGATTCAAAGCGTTCTTTAGTGGTTATGGCTGATTCAAGAGTTCGCAAGAATGCAACAGAACCAATCAAACATACTCATTCATTCGTGGAAGTTATGATTCAACATTAACTAGAACAGTGAATGATGTATTAAATGATTTGAATATTAAGGTAAGAGTTGAACAGAAGAATGAAGAAATAAAGACTATCATGAATGAAAACAAAGATGTAAACATTGACGATAAACTAGCTCAGAGCATAGTTGATGGCATCTGTGATTTTGAAGTACATAATGACGGTGGAAACATGAATTTAGAAAAAGAAATAACATTATTCACACTGTTTCAAGCTATTAATTCGTTACCGGATCATTTAATTAATGAAGCATACGATAACGTTTATAACTTCTGCAGTTTAACAGAAAATGCAAAAAGTAATTTTGAAAAAGCACGTAGTAGATATGCACATTTAATGACTTCTCCATTTGTTTTAGTGAAGATTCTAAAACTATATCAAAAGGAATATTATGATGAATATGTTTTACCTTTATTACGTAAGCCAAAAATAACATTTGATATCAAACTTGATGACTCGTTTTTGATAACAGATATTAGACGCAAGGCTGAAAATCATCAGTATAAAAACAGTTCTGAAGTAATTGAGGATTTATCACGTGTAATCCGTTTTGTAGATTGTGGAAATAAATATTTCATTCAAAAGGACTATAATATCCACGACAAAATGAATCAAATATCATTTGTTCTTCAGTCAAACATGAAAGAGTCACTCAAAATGATTAAATTATTTAAAGAAGAAGGTAAAACCATAACAGCATGGGATGTACTACTAAATCAATTGTCTTCATTAACCGTTAAGGGTGTTTGCTTTAAATCTGATTCCCCAGATGTTTTCTCAACGTTTCAAGGTTATAAATACAACGTTCTCGAAAAACCAGATTACTCAAAAATTGAGATGTTTATGAATTTCATTAAAGAAGCCATTTGTGATAATAACGATGAAGTGTATAAATACCTTCTCGGCTGGATTGCATCAATGATTCAACATCCCGGAATCAAGAATGAAACAGCAATTATTTTGAAAGGACTTCAGGGAACAGGTAAAAACAGATTTACAGACATTATTTCTGAACTTCTCGCTGGTTATTCATGTAAAAACATTACCGAAATAAGTGAGCTAACGGGTAATTTCAATTCAGTAGTTGAAAATAAAATGTTTCTTGTACTTAATGAACTCAAGAATGTGGGTGAAGACAGACTCGCAAACTTCAACGCTTTGAAATCAATTATTACGGATAATGAGATAAGAATTAATGAAAAGAATCAACCCAGAAGAACAGCTCAGAACGTTGCAAACTTCATTTTCGTAACTAACAACGTCTACCCTGTCAAAATTGAAGTTGGAGACAGAAGATACGTAGTTTTAAGAGTTAATGGTAAATTCAAGGTCAATTTGATTACTTCAAGAATTTAATGGATTCATGCACAAAGGAATTTTATGATAATTTACTGACGTATTTTATGCAATATGACCTTTCATCATTTAATGTACGAATCATACCGATGACTGAAGCCAAACAAGATTTAATTGAATTATCATCAAATCCTTTAGATGTATGGATAAATACACATTATGATGAATTGTGTGCAGGTATGACGTGTGAAAATGCTCTATTCTGCAAACCATCAGACATGAAAGACAAAAACTTTCAAATGAGTATTAAGGATAAATGTGATAGGAAACATAGAAGAATAGACGGTAAACAAACATGGTATTATGTTTTGAAAGAAGAAATGAAAGGATTATATAAACAGGTTGAACCAAACGATAATGAGGAATCATTTACTGATGATGAAATACCTGTAAATGAAGCTTTATAAAGTATGATTGGAATTTATTTTTGCATTAATCCTGAACTGTTGTCAAAATGTCATGTTGTCACACTTTTTCAGAGAAGTTAAATGACCTGGTAGCACATGGTAACATGGTAGCACCTTCAGTTCTTTAAAAATAATTCATAACTACCTTCCTCCTGAACTGTTGTCAAAATGTCATGTTGTCAACATGGTAACATGGTAGCACCTTCAGTTCTTTAAAAATAATTCATAACTACCTTCCTCCTGAACTGTTGTCAAAATGTCATGTTGTCACACTTTTTCAGAGAAGTTAAATGACCTGGTAGCACATGGTAACATGGTAGCACCTTCAGTTCTTTAAAAATAATTAATTATTGAATAACTGGGAAATAAATTTACGTCAAATATGCAATTTATAAAATCTTATGTCGACAGGCTACGTAGCACAGTGGTCTAAGGTGGTGTTATGGAGGGGTCAGGGTCTGTGGTTCGAACCGCGACAGCGCCGTATTTTCTTATTTTCTTTATTTGTCTTGTTTGTCGTGAATAAAAAGTGTCATAAAAGTGCTCTATCTTCCACGGGAATAAATAAAAAATTTACTTTATTTCTTCTTTATTTCTTTGTTCCCGTGGAAGAAGGGTTTTGCCGTTTTTTCTCAGCCGAAATCAACGATTTTTTCATTTTTGGAATCCTTAGCAAATGAGGAATCTTTTCTCTCGTGGAAGCTTTGACCAAAAATATAATTGAGGTGAAGAGGTGAGATGTCACCCGTTTTCTCACCTGTTTTCTCACCCTAGTTATTTTATAAACGTTTTACATTGTAATAAACAGAAATTCATCAAAAGTGACAGCTCTCAATTTTTTGACATTTGTAAATTCTAAATTGAATGAGAAAAATGAAATAATACTAAGCATAAGACAATATTCTAGATTTAATTATAATTAGGAAAAAGTTAGTTTTGAGAGTACTTTTCATAGGCATATAGAATGAAATCTTCTGAAAAATAATATCACATAAACTCATATTATTTTCTAATATATAACTATTTTATATAAAAATCAAATTCAATGATCTTAAAAGCGAAGGATAAACCTCAAAATTTACGAATATAATGAGTGGGAATATAATGCTTATCTATCATAAAACCATATGAAATATCAATTTTTGCTTTACGCCTAATTTTTGACGACAATTAGCAAAAAATGTTAAATGTTAACACTCAGTCCATTTGAATATGAAAAATAAAATTGACTTTGATTAAATGTTTTTATTTATCATGCAATTCTTCTTGCGACCAAAGATTTGAATAAAAGTTCAAAAAATAAGATAGCTTAAAAAATAATATACGGTAGTGTTTACTAATAGATGAATAGTATATAAATTCTATTAAAATGGATTTGATCCAAAAAAATATATAAAATTTGATCATAAATAAAATCGTTTTAAATGACTTCTTCATTTAAATTATAACAATTATTTTTGGTTTTATATTTTTTTGGATCAAATCCATTTTAATAGAATTTATATACTATTCATCTATTAGTAAACACTACCGTATATTATTTTTTAAGCTATCTTATTTTTTGAACTTTTATTCAAATCTTTGGTCGCAAGAAGAATTGCATGATAAATAAAAACATTTAATCAAAGTCAATTTTATTTTTCATATTCAAATGGACTGAGTGTTAACATTTAACATTTTTTGCTAATTGTCGTCAAAAATTAGGCGTAAAGCAAAAATTGATATTTCATATGGTTTTATGATAGATAAGCATTATATTCCCACTCATTATATTCGTAAATTTTGAGGTTTATCCTTCGCTTTTAAGATCATTGAATTTGATTTTTATATAAAATAGTTATATATTAGAAAATAATATGAGTTTATGTGATATTATTTTTCAGAAGATTTTGTGTTCTTCTTCAAAATTTTATTTTTTTATTAAAAAGAATCTTTACAAAATATACATTTACTTTAATTAATATTTAAAAACGTGCTCTATCAAAAGTTCCAAAAATTCAATATTTTAGCTTTTCTGAGGTGTCACTTTTGATGAATTTCTGTTTACAACAACATGGTAAACGTTATTTTTTTAAATTTTGTGAAAACTCAACGGTTTGACACATGCCCTAAAAATTATTTTACTCAGAATTTTGTTGCTAAATTCAATAAAAATAATGTTTAGGTGAAGAGGTGAGATGTCACCTGTTTTCTCACCTGTTTTCTCACCCTAGTTATTTTATAAACGTTTTACATGAATTGTACGATGTATATTTGAAATCCTAAACAATTTCGTAGCTTCTATTTCTTCGCTGAGGATATCAAAAGTTTTAACAATGCCGAAAGTCTCTTTATATTTCTTCTTGACGTCAGATAGAAGGAAATCTTCTACTGTTGGATAGTTTTTGTTCAGAAATGCTAACATGTCCATTTTATCTTCTGCTGGTTTCTCTACTTCTTTCTTTAAGTCTGCATAGTCGTTTCGCATACGTTCTATCTCTTTGACTGAGTAGTTATATTTCCTTATTGCTGCTTTACATTTTGAACATTGTGGGTTCATTTTTGCATTATACATTGAAATTTGACCTGCTAGAACAACTAAAGCGTCAATTGCTCTCTTCATCTCAAACATAGCGGGTCTTAGTTGTTCGTTCCATACTTTGCCTCTTCTATCTTTATCTCTTATTTCCCAAACACATTTTGCAACTAATGAAACAAAGTTATCGTAAGTCTTAAACTCCTCAGATTTATATATGTCAGAAACATTCTTATATACCATATCGCAATCTTTGTCCATAACTTTATGGTTGCAATGAAAACCAAGGAATTCATAATTTACTTTACGTATGAACTTCTTTATTTCTACTGAGTCAGTTGCTTTGACTTCAATTTCGTCGAATTCAGGAATAGTTAGTTTTTGATGCTGAATTTCAGGTAGTTTAGGTAAATGGTCGATGAGGTCCTCCATTTCATAAAGATATTCTTCATTTTCTTCATCTTTCGCACTACAGTCTAAATTACTTGTTAAAAGTTCTTGCTTTATCTTCTGGATTTCTGTTTCGAAAGTATATGAAGAAGGAATGAAGCTTTTCATTTCTACCAACATTGACGTAGGATTCATAACTAACGAGTTTGGTGCTGTTGTTGTGGACAGAGTCCCGCCGTTCGCGGCTTGAATTGTTGTTGTGCCGATTGTTGAAATCATATCTTTACATACAAAATAAAAAAAATAAAAAAATAAAGTTAGTTTTATTTTTTATTTCGGGAAAATTCACGAGGGTGAGAAAAGAGGTGAGAAAACAGGTGAGATGTCACCACTTCACCTAAATTTATTTTTTCACCTCTGACAACGTTTATTTTTAAGTTTATTTTTTATTTTATTTTTTATTTTATTTGGATGTAAATGACAGAACAAAAGCAACTCATACAAATCAAAACATATAACAAACATACATTTAAACATTTATTCTTCCTTCCTGAGCATAACATGTTCTTTCAAATACATCCGAGACCAGTTGACTTTTCATTGACTGTGTATAAAGATAGAAATAGTTATATCATTAAACCATACGATGACGAAGGTAAGTTATGTAAATTGTACGTTAAGAAGTTAGAGAAAGTTTATGGCTTCAAGTATGACTACAATAGGGTTAACACTGATGATGAAGATATTGAGGAAAATTTATGAGAACATTAGTGAAGTCGTTAGTGAGAACGATAGTGAGAACGTTTATTTTTACATTAGTGAGTTCGTTAGTGAAGTGGTTGGCGGCTTTGTAAATATTTAAGATTAAGTTAGTTTTTGCGTTCGTGTTGTAAAATATACGTTAATGGTTTTGTAAAGTGTCAAAACCGCTAAGTGGTGTATGGAGGAACGCAGTGCCTTCGTACACAACTTAACCATACTAACTAGGAACGAAGAACAAATTCTTGAACTCATGACCGTTGTAGTTTGTTATCTCAATAGTTTTCGTCATTTATATAAAAATAAAATAAAAAATAAACTTAAAAATTAATGATATCACCACCCTCACACGTATGAAAACATAGCACAAAAATAAATTTAGGTGAAGTGGTGAGATCTCACCTCTTTTTTCACCTGTTTTTTCACCCTGTTGAATTCATTGCTTTATAACTCTCTTCCTTGATTTCTTTTTAGTTGCTTTCTTAACATCTGTCTCCAACTTGACTGTCTTTCTTCTTCGTCCGTAATGATACCAATTACTTCCACCAGTCAATGGGTCAAATGGTCTTTCGTAAGGGTTTCCATACATTCCATAAGGTCCGTATGGATAAACCGCTGGTGGAGAAGAAACATTTTCTTTAGTTCCATCGACTCTATTTAAATGCATTGTTTCACCTTTCATCTGGTCATTAAAGTCTTTTGCGTGTTTTGCAAACTCATCGTCCTTTCCTAAAGCATTTTCTGACTCAGTCGCAACCAAATTGGATGCTTTATTTATGAGCCCTATTTTATTTAATCTTAACTTCTTTGCAACCCAGCCTCCAATCTTTCCTTTATTTGCATCTAATGTCTTTGAAACCCTTCCTCCACTCATTTTATTTACTGCGTCATAAGCTCCAAGTGCTTTTGCTCCAAATGCTAATGCTTTTGTTCCCATTGCGCCTAAAGCTGCCCAAGCTACCATTTACCCCATATTAAAATCATCTCTCTTCAATATTATCTCATAAAAGTTCTCGTTACTGGAGAAAGTCAATGAAACATAAACATTCTCACGTGCTTCGCCCTCACCGCTTTGCGGTCTATCTAACTTCTTTCTTATCTCATCTATTCTCAATAAAATGTCTGAACAATTGCTAACATCTTCTACAACAGTTATTTCATCATGAATGACCTTCAAAAACAAACTCATTTAATATGCTATTAAAATCATCTCAATAATGAGTCCATCCTTTCCATCTTTAGGTAGCACAACATCTTTCATTGAAGAAGGTTCGACAAGTCTTATGTTAAACTTACTGACAAAGTTTGTTATACTATAATGCTTCGGCGGCGAATACATATAGTTTGAAAGACATAATATAGATTCTTCAGCAAATTCACTTATACTGGATTTTATAACAATGTTCTCACGAGACCAAACGCCACCAATTGACAATCTTGTAAGCAATCCTGCTGAACCTTCAACTGTAAACGTCGATGGTAACATTCCACGAAGGTCATCTATTGACATCTTTGAGTCACTGAATTTAAATATTTTCTTAAAGCAATCGTCATTATCTAACCATGCAATAGCTTTGAAGTTTTCATTTGAATATACATCTGCTTCATTAAATGTAAATCCTGACTTCTTTGCAGAGATGACTTTAAAATCTATTGAGTTTGTTTCAAAATTATATGCTATGGTAACTTCTGAAGGTAATGGGTGTCCTTCTGCTATAAGTTGTTCTTTCAATACCGTTTGAAGCTTTGTGTTAAAAACTTTCATGTCATCTCCTGTGTCTAGGTTCACATACACAGCAACAGGGAAACTATCTTGCTTCTTTGTTTCATCATTATATCTCAAAACATTAAAGTTCTTCAATAATATTGTTCTTCCTGCTGGAATACTTCGAACCTGTCTGATTTCAATAGCTTTCTCACCTCCTACATACTCTACCCAGTGTCTTGGATATTCATAAGTATACTGACTTTCTTGAATTTTGGTAGGTTTCATCATAACGTGTTCATAGTATATCTTTATACTCTTGTCAGTTAGACTCGGTGCTATGTTCTGAATATTTCTGACTTGCATTTTTAATGGAGATAAAATGAAGCATTTAATACATGATGTAGATGAAGACATGAATGAAACCACAGATAAACTTAACTCTTCTCTCATTCTTCCTTTCAGCAAAGATTATGGGTTCTGTTCAAATGGTGTGTATTTCTATTGTGGAAAGATGGGTTCAGGTAAGACATTTAACCTCATTCGTCATATACTCATAACAGAGCGTTTAGGAAACGACTCTTACTATGACCAAATCATTATATCAGCAACTTCAGACTCTATGGACTCAACAGCGAAAACATTTATGAGTAAAGTTCAAGCATCTGTCGTTAAAGTTCCAGACAGTGAACTCATTGAATTTCTTCAACGTTACATTCGACGTAAGAGAAAATATTATGCTATTGTAGAGTTCATACAGTCAGGAATGCAAAAGACTTCAGAAGAGATGGAAAGAATTATTGACAAACACCACTTACGTCAATACTCAGGAGTTTACGATATGAAACGACTTACAAACTACATTCTGTCAAAACTTTCAAAATACCCCTTCAAAAAATATCCTTCAAACACTCTGCTCGTTTGCGACGACTTCGCCGGAAAAGGTTTAGTGTCAAAACCAGACTCACCATTAGCTAACATCATTACTAAAGTCAGACATTACCACTTAACTGTAGCAATACTTATGCAAACATGGTGTTTTTCTTGCTTTAAACATAAAACGTCTCATAACTGACTTCGTTATCTTTCAAGGTTTCTCACGTTATGATATTGAACTCATTTGGAAACAGTCAGGTATAACATTACCTTTTGAAGAAATTTGGGAAGCATATAAGTCTCTCATCTCTCCTCGTTCATACCTTGAGATTCATATCATGACTAATACCATTAAAGTCAAAAATATTCCATGGGAACGACCAACATTGTTTTAAAGTTTAACCTTCAATTGACTGATGGTAAACAAATTCCATGCATCTCTGTCGCCATTTCTGTTAATATTTTTGCTGTCATTCATATCATCCACTTCCCCATCCGTTAGCTTTTGAGGATATGCGTTAGAATAGCTGTTCTTAAATGAAGGCTTTTCACCTTTGAGAGCATAAACTCTATAACTTTCTGCATACTTTATGTTTGAACCTCCTGAGCCATCATTGACATAAATTTTTATAGGCTTCCACCCTTTGTTCATATTCCTGCTTCTTCCCTTTGCTCTTTTGTTCAGTAGTTCTACATCTTTATACACAGCACCTGTCTCAGTGAATTCAACAATATTTTCATTCGTTAGCTTTACATTCAAACCCTTGTCGAGTATATTGTTCATTTCATACATATAAAAGGTTTTTATTCTATATGAAATGAGAAGCAAATCCATCTTAGCTGGTGCCGTTAATGTTCCAATTGAACCAACATCAAATGTTGACTCACGAACGACAAACAATATTGTCATAAAGAACTATAGTTCAGAGTGTTTGAAAGAACCAGAACCAGAGCTGAAATCCGTGAATTTAAACTCAGCTTCAAACGCTAACGCTACATCAGATGTTAAGTTAGAGTATCCACCACTGGACCAAATTCTTTCAAGAGAAGCCAACGACAATCCTTACACAAATGTTCAAACAAATCCTTCAGATAACGTAGACCATTACCTTCTTCAGTTATACCAAACAATTTTACTCAAAGACGATAAGAAGCTTTTGATAAATCTTATAAGTAAGAACCAAATAATTCTAACAAAGGAGGACCTTGAAAATGTTATATCACGAATAACAGGAAAGCAATGTGTCATTGACTATCTCGACCCTGAAATCGAATGCTGTGGTCAAACGCCAATATTCATGAAAATAGGTAACATCCGCATCATTGAAACACCAGGAACTACAGGAGTTGAGTTTAAGTATAAATATTCGAACGAGTATACAAAACTATCTACTTACTATAAGCTTTGTTTGAAATATGTTTTAGTAAATTAAAGCAACTTATAGTATCTATCCAAAACTTCTTCAACAGTATCGAACTCATCTTCATAATGCAAACCTAATCTTATTGACTTGGTGCAGTTTTCACTAACACAATATTTTTCTGTTCTCTTGACTGACATAACTAACTCATTTGTTTCATCAAACAGCAACAACCAAAGTTCATGCCCTAATACATAACATTCATACTTTATATTTTTAGCTCTGAGTTCTCTTGTAAGCTGTTGCATTTAATATTTTCTAAAAAGTCAACTTCAACAGTCAGTCGCACTGGTGCCTTCAGTTCTACAGGCTCTCCTTGAAAGTCAACAAGTCTGAATTGCATGTCTTTCAAATTATGAGGACTAATGCGAACCCATTTACCTAAATGAGTTGCTATGACAGGAACGTTTGGAATGAACATTGAATTGACTGCATAACAGAAGGATTTATATTCTACTGAACCTTTACTATTAACTCCTGAAATACCTGTGACATTAGCTATTTTAGACTCAATGTACAAACAATTACCATAACATACGTATGGAACAGATTTCATCTCAATCGTTTTGTCAACACTTTTCAAAGGAAATGTCATATGGTATGCACCCAAAAGAAGTTGTACTCTATGACTCATTCTTGGTATCTTAAACTCCTTCGCATAACTGAACTTCAAAACTCCTGCAATAAGTTTAACATTCATTAAGTTTTCTTCGTTATCCTTGTTTATTGTAGTATTTATGAGAGCATTTAACACTCCAGCTAATGTTTCCATCTTATATTCTACATTATTGTGAAATCTTATTTCATGCTTCTTTCCATTTATTTCAAGCTCCATGAAATCTGTTTCATCTGTTATAACGAATGAAGCGATAGTATTGAAGTCAACCATTCTGAATGCAAGCGCCTCATTCTGTAGACCTAAGTTTGTTTGTAGCTTTACTGTCCCGTATTCGTTTGGGTCTGTACTTTGCAAATAGAACAACATTTTATTCTCATTAAAATATGAGTATAGCTGCATATGCGTATGAAGCTGACAGAGCTAAACGTTTATATTTTGGTCAATACTCTCTCACACTTACTGACAAATATATTGTTATCAGTGATGGAAATACCGAGAAATACATAACATGGAAGGACTATGAAAAGTTTGACCCTATTTTAACTCCATGTACTATGCCATTCATTGTAAATGGTGAAGTTGTCATGAAGAACGACACAACAGTATATAAGTCTGTATATGAAGCGTTAGAATATATGTTGAATTATAATCCCGAAAGATTTGACCCAAGCACTACACCATGTGCAATGCCTTTTATTAAGGACGGTGAAATCGTAAGAGTTCCGGATTCAACGGTTTACACAGCTGTTCAAAACAGTTTACAAAACATTTTAGCGAATATCTTTAATTCAGAAACTACAGAAATAAAATTACCATATATAACAGATGCTAAAGAAATTAAATCAAAAACGACAACATTATTTACGTCACTTAATGATTTAATGACTTATATCATTAATATTCCTGCACCAACTACAGCATTTGATCCAAACTCGACGGTTTGCAGTGTACCTTTCATAAATGACAGTTCATTAATTACTTTAAGGAATTCGACAGTAAATGAATCATTAAAGGCGTCATTAATGAAAATCATTGATTTTAATTCATTCACGAATACATATAATTCATTCATTAATGTTTCATATGCTTCTAAAGAAGGTGAGCCAAAAACTATCAATAAAGCGGTGTATGAAATAAAAGCATCAACGACGAAATTGAATTCGTTAACTTTTGACGGTGATAGTTTCGTTAATGACATAACATCGGGGAAAACAATTTTAACGAAAGAATACTTAAAATCTCATGTTAGTGAGTTCGTTGAAATTGAAAAAGAAGGTGGAATTAAGTTCGATCCACTGAATTTCATTTTCAGCTTAGCGAATGCGGGTGTTAGTTTCGCTGAATGGACAACTATACAGAGTGAAATAAATGCAATATGGACGTTTTTGGGGTCAAAAGCGGGAATGGGTGAGCTTGTAAATGCTGCAAGAACATTAGGTGAAACAGGAAATTTTGTAGATGGTTTTAAAAGACTTGTTTCAAATGTTTTAACAAACACAAAGAAATTATTTAGATATACCATACATAACGGTCAGATTTTCGAACAGATAGCAACAAACCCTCCGGTTATGGCTGCGTTGATGATGGTTAGAGATATAAAACCACGTAACGACGGGAACGAAGAACATGAACAACAGGATACTGGTCGGGTTATTCGAGACATTAAAAACGTGTATCCTGAAGTTATTGATTTATTTAGAGGAGTTAATGATTCAATTTCAAAACATTCTATAACCCTCGATGAAGAGAATAAATTAACAGATTATATATTCGTCATTATTGCAGAATTAATGAAGAGAATAAATGAAAAAGGAATTGGTGATATCATTAATGTCAGCGATGTAATGATGAAAAGAAATTTTGACTCATTATTTACAAAACCGAAAACAGAATATAGTCTTTATGACGTAATTACCGAATTAATGAAAAAGATTAATGATAATAAGAGTTCTGGCGGAAGAGTTGAATTAGAAGTGAATGATGTTAATGAGAAATTAGCCGAAAAAGCAGACAAAAATGAGCTTTTAGCTCTGAGTGATAAAGTCAAGAACCACGTTCATTATATAACTTCAGACGAACAGATTATAACGGACTACCATGGATATTTAACACGAAGTGATGAAGTGAAGACGGAAGACCCCAATGAAAGAAGATATAAATACATTCGTGCTAAAGGTTATGACATACACTGTACTGTACAGTATGACACGGGTAAAGCACCAGAAGCATTTAGTTATAACGATGAAATTTATGCCTCTACTTTCTCTGTTAAAGGTGTATTAGTTGAACCAAGATTTACTTTGAGAGTTAAGTCAAAAATAACGTTTGAAGATGCTATTAAAAGTAAAGCTGACAAAGTTGAACTCGAAGCAATGAACAAAGTTTTGAAATCTCATAAACACAACATCTCCGATATAAATGAACTTCAAGCTACATTAGACAGTAAAGCCGACAAGAACCATACACATAAATCCTTCACTACTGTTAGAGCTGATGACATAATACTGAACTTTGACCTTGGTTCAAGTGCACCTTTAGAGAATCCAAGTACAAGCGTAAAAGATACACTAAACAATTTAGATAACAGTTGCAGGAATATCGAAGATCATGCCAGAAACTTTGAAGCATACGAACTACCAGCAATGTTAGATAAGAAAGCCGACAAAACTTATGTAGATGAAAATTATGCAAAGAAGTCGGAAGTAAATGCTGCGCTTAATGGAAAAGCCGATAAAGAGCACGTGCATGAAGAATTTCAAACAATCAAGATTAAAGAAATTAAGGCATGCATCGAAATAGTAACAAAAACAGGAAGAGACGGTGCAACTGTACAAGAACAAAGAATTTATCCTCCTACTTTTCCTAATGGTTTAATAACAAACAATATAAATATTGTAGAAGGCAATAAAACTATAAACGTTAAACATGAACTTCTAACAATGAAGGTCCAGATTCTTGAAACCATATATCCTATAGGCTCTATTTATACGTCAATGAACTCAACAAATCCAGAAACAGTTTTAGGTTTTGGTACGTGGGAACAGATTGTAGACAAATTCTTATACTGTGCTAACTCTTCAAAGCAAACAGGAGGTTCGAAGAAAATTAAAGAAGCAAACCTTCCACCGCACACTCATACAGGAACGACAAACTTTTCTGGCGACCATAGCCACTCATTAAGAGACCACCCATTATACAACTCAGAGTATGAAGCTGGCCATGACGTTTTATCTCCAGCTTATAACGATTCAACAAAAAAGACTTTTCGACAAACTGAACCAGGAGGAAATCATGTCCATACTTTCACAACAAATCCAACAGGCTCGGGTGCAGATTATATGCCACCATTTATGACTGTATTCGCATGGTATAGAGTTCATTGAACGCGCTTGAGCCTTGAATAAAATCTTTAACTTTACATAAATGAGCTTGAAAGAAGTATTCGAACAACATCCATGGAGGTCATTTAAGAAGTTCAATGAAGCTGCAAAGAGTTGGGGATTTACTAACAGAGCTGAAGTGAAAAGGTTCTTTGACAAAAATGTTGTACATCAAACAAAAATAAACCCTTACGACTACTTTTTACCAATTTACTCCAACACTCCTGACGCATACCAATTTGACACTCTCATTCAAAGCAGAAAAGGAGGACATAAACCATTCCTCATCTTCATTAATGTTAACACTCGCAAAGCATATGCATATCCAATGAAAAATAAAGGAACTCGTGAAGTGTTAAGAGTTTTACAAAAGTTTGTAGCAGAACATAGCCCAAGTACTTTAACATCAGACCAAGACAGTGCATACCTCAGCAATGAAATCACAGATTTTCTCATTAAGCATAACATAACTCACTACACTACTGAAGACCATAACCATAACATACTCGGCATCATAAACCGCTTCATAAGGACTCTCAGAGATTTAAACCAAGAGCGAGACTTTACCGAAGAAACAATGAAACATTTTCTCGAAGTATATAATTCCTCAACAAATTCTACAACAGGACATACACCAAATTCAATGACACAACAACAAGAAGAAAAGTATATACAAAAGAAACGAAGCCAAACACAAAATATCAGAAATTCAACACAATTTACCCTCATTCCTGGTACAAAAGTTCGTGTAGTTCTTGACGACAAACCGTTGACAAAGAAACGTTTAATGTTAAGTCGAAATTATTATATCGTAGACTCTACGCAAGGTAATGGATATCTTATAAAAGCTGCTGACGACTCTATTGCGTTTTACCCTCGACATAAATTAGTTGAAAGTAGTAATGGCAAACTTGCTGAAACCATTGACGAAGCAAAGCGAGGAGTGGTTATTGAAATACTTGGCTACAACATAAACGATGACACTTATAAAGTAAGATATGAAGGAGGCGTTGAAGATGTTATACCATCTAAGAACTTGAGAGAGTCAAAGCCAACACATCTGGGACCATTAGAGCGGGAGTACTGGAAAGACAAAAATATGCCAGAAAGAATAAGAAAATTCTTCTAAACTTTTTCATTAGATGTAAATCAGACATGAACGAGAACAGTCATGATATCATTAATGGTACCATTTATTTTAACATAAAGACGCAAAGCGGTGGGGCATAGCCCATGAACAAAAATAATTTTTTAGGGTAGATGGGTATATCTAACCTCATTTCTACCCTCATTTCTACCCTCATGAATTTTCATGAATTTCCTTAAGATAGAAAAAAATAAAGTTAGTTTTATTTTTATTTATTTTTTTTTATTTTGTATGTAAGAACAGAAATGTCAGTCGAAGCAAAAACATTCACTAACAAATATAATGGCGAAACATTCACAAAAGGCACTTATAACGGTATTGAAGTCTTACGTAGAGACAAGGATGGTTACATTAATGCAACAAATATGTGTCAGCAGTTTAGGAAAGACTTTAGAAAGTTGTTGGAAAATAAGTCCTGGGAAGAGTATTATAAGGCATTTTGTGAAGAATATAGCAACAGTCCGAATTCCGGCGGTTGCTTTTTATACAAAATTCATGCAGGAATTCCTGATGAAATCAAACAGGTTAGAGGAACGTGTGTAGACCCAAGACTTATAAACTATATAGCAATGTGGGCTTCTCCAAAATATTGCATAGCAGTTGGAAAAATTATGGACTCCATAGACAAGAAAGTTCATGAGAAATTAGATGAAGAAGAACTCGAAGATACAGTAGAGAATGCTAAACATTTGTTTGAAGAAGAAGTTAGAAAAATGTGTGAAAAACAATTAGAACATGAACGTGAGATATGTTATGGTTATAGAGATTCTCAATACGAACTAGACCAATGGGAACAAGAAGATTTAAAGAGAGAATTTAGAGAATATGAACTCGCTAAGATAGCATTAGAAACTGCAGAAAAGAAGTTAAAAGTTTGGGGTCGTTTTGTACAAAAATATTGTGAGTAAATGAACCATTTATTTTTGCTGAATTCGTGAGATTCTGAGTAAAATGGCATATGGCATGTGTCAAACCGTTGAGTTTTCACAAAATTCCAAAAATAACGTTTACCATGTAAAACGGTTATAAATAATGAGGGTAGAATTCGTGGTAGAAATTAGGTTAGATATACCCATCTACCCTAAAAATTATTTTTGCTGAATTCAGCACAAAATTCTGAGTAAAATGACATATGGCACGTGTCAAACCGTTGAGTTTTCACAAATTTTAAAAATTGCTGCGGAAAGTTCGTCAAAAAAGTGAAGGTTCCCGATGGTTTCAAACCGCCATACTTTACATGAAGATAGTTTACAATGTCAACTAAATATCATGTACGATAGAAACGGTTATGTAAAGTTTACATTTTGTAAAGTTTTGTCCTGATTCAAGACAAGTCTTGTATTTTTTCAGAACAAGTCTTGTATTTTTTCAAGACAAATCTTGTCCTGATTCAAGACAAGTCTTGCACTTTTTCAGGAAATCCTATCGTCCAACTTTACAAATGTCACTTTTTCAACATGATTGCATTTTGGTCGGGGAACAACTTTCTCTCATTTTGTCGCTTTTTCTATCGTCGTGTTTTGTCACTTTTCCCTCAGGGTGTGTGTCAGAAAATATCCAAAATCTTTATAGCCTCGTATCTCCTTCAATTCTTGACGGTTTGACATGTATGACACACCATTCAATTCAGAATTATGTGCTAAATCTTATGACCTTCATTTGTTCGTGACTTCTTTTCACATATGTAACCATGAATTTTTTAACATTTCTTTAACACAGAAAAATAAAGTTAGTTTTATTTTTATTTATTTTTTTATTTTGTATGTAAAGACAGTAATGTCAACATCAGAGAACACAACAACAGTTATAGCCCATGAAGCTATAAATGAAGAATACGAATACATACAATATAACAAACAACTTCGCCTCATTCGTTCGGTCAAAGATGACATGTACCAAATGCAAAGTATAATGAATGCTCTTCGTTCTACAAAGCAAGCATATCATTGGTTTGAAAACCAACAGACAAAAGAACTTTTAGAAGAATTTCCTCATATGATTGCTTCCCTCGGAAAACCGAGAGAAGAGATTCCATTCGAAAATCGCAAGAATTTGGCACCTGGTTTGAAAGGTTATTATGTTCATAGACTTTTAGTAAATGCTGTAGCAATGTGGGCTTCACCTCGTTATGCTTGTTATATTTTCATGATGTTAGATGAACTATATAAAGCAGAACGTGGAGAGATGGAAAAGAAACTTCAAGCAAAAGATGAAGTCATTGAATCCAAAGACAAAAGCATACAGAAAAGAATACCACGTTCAGTACCAAAAGGAAAGGAAAAGAACTATAAGTATATGATTTATACTGAAGAGATGGAAAATGAAGAAGATAAAGATATGGTTATGTTGCATTTAGTCAGAAGAAACAACAAAAGCTTTTGCGACCTTGCTAAAATATATAAATCTGACAGAAACTGGTTCTATCGTGAAAACTTACCGATTTCAATGACCCCAAATGAGCAAATAAAGGAAATTGTCAAAAATACTCTTCCTCAAACACACTATGACATCAAAGGTTGTACAATACTTACATTCAAAGAAGACTTAACATTACTGAAGGAAAAAATAACAGAATATTTCGATAACTTCAAAGAGGAAGAATGAAGTCACGACAACATTAACGAAGAAGTCACGACAACATTAACGAAGAAGTCACGACAACATTAACGAAGAGAGAATGAGGTGAAAAAACAGGTGAAATCTCACTTCTTCACCAAAAATATATTTTTGAATAACTGAAGGTGTCACCACGTCACCATGTGTCACCAGGTTAATTAACTTCTCTTAAAATTACTGACAAAATGACATGTTGTCATCACATTTTGACGAAGTGCGAATCTTCACTTCGTGTCATAATGCAAAAATAATGCTGAAAAATGAAATTTCTTCTTTCGTACCTGTTGTCAAAATGACATGTTGTCATCACATTTTGACGAAGTGCGAATCTTCACTTCGTGTCATAATGCAAAAATAATGCTGAAAAATGAAATTTCTTCTTTCGTACCTGTTGTCAAAATGACATGTTGTCATCATTTTTAAAAGAAGTTAATTAACCTGGTGACACATGGTGACGTGGTGACACCATCAGTTATTCAAAAATATATTTTTGGTTAAATAGCTTCAGGGTCTATTTCTTCAACCATTTCACTTCCTTCGTCAATGTCAATAGAAGCTTCTTCAACCTTTGGTAAGAATTTCTGTATAACATCTTTGTTCGTTATTGTCTTCAGAGATGAAGGATAATATTTCACATTTGTTTCACCCTTCTTATATTCTTTCTGTTCGGAAAGATTCATAGCAATACTGAAGAAGTCAATGTTAGAGTTCTTTATAACAGTATAATGAGTATCTTTGACATTCACGAAGGAACCCTTTTGTTTCAAAACTACTGCTAACTCTTGTGAAGTATAACGTTTGCGGTCAATGACAATAGCTAATGGTCTGACATACTGACCAAACTTAGATTCTTTCACAAACTTCTTGTTAAAGATAACATTAACGTTTGAAGCACCATTGAACTCATTCTTGATGGCAGTAGCGAGAGCATTGTATGAAAAGAACTTGCAATCTTGCATGTGTTTCATTAAAATAAAAATATTAAATTATTTTGAAAAATAACTTTAAAAAAATCTAATCTAATTTTTTCAAAAAAATATTTTTTTATTTCCTACTAAAGATGTATCGGAAGTTGTCTAAGTTAGAACACTCGGAAATAAAACAACTTCTTACAGAAGCTAACATAGATGTTGCAAAGCATTACGCAACAAACAAAAAAGCACTCGCTGACATCCTCAATGACTACAATGGTGCAATAAGTTATGATAGAATTCATGAGTTCATAAAGCCGCAACGCGGCGAGGACGAATTCCATGCAAGAGCATTTCCTTTAAATGACGTTGCTATTGACTTATATCATAGACGTTCAGTACCTCATGAAGTAAGGCGTGAGATGTTTGACATAACAAATGCGAACGTTGGTCATACTCGTAAAGCTCTTTCTCATGATGTTCGTCAAGAGATGTTTGAACTTACGAACTCAAACGTTGGTGAAACACGAAAGAGAGATGACACACTGAAACAACAGAGAAGAGAGATGTTTAAAAATTCTATAGAACAAGTTCGCAAAGCTAACGATGTCATTCGTTCCATTGACGACAAACCAAAAGAAGGTGAGAGATGGTTAAAGAAAGATGAAGAGAATAGGAAGAGAAATGTGAAGTCAGGCAATAGACTCATTGACTTTAACATCGAAGCTTTAGATGAACCAAACAGAGACTACTTACACAAACATTTCGGTAAGGTTTTCATGAGACTCTTAGAGAAGATTAAAATAAACTCCCAACAAAGATGGATGGTATGTTATAAACTTGGTGGAAAGTATGAATGTTCTACGTTAAACCTCAATAATATTGGAACATTACTACATCAGCTCTTGAAGGAGAACTTTATATCAGAGATAGAAGCAAATGCTGCAGGTATTGTTGAAATGCACTATGACTTCTTCTTGACAAACATAAAGAATCTTACTGAAATAAAGATGTATGATTTAACAGAATATGAAGGCTTAACGATGTCAGATGTAAAGAAAGGAAAGCCAAAAGAGACCATATAGAGATGAAAGCACACTGACAGAAAGACAGAAAAGATTTGAACAGACTTAAACAAACAGGAGATAAACAAGATATAGATGACTTTGGAATAATCCTTGGTGAAAAGAAGTTTTATAAGAAGAGAAGCGGTCAGTTCTGGAAGTATCTTTGCACATTACCTATAAATCTTGAACGCTACCAAATCTTCAATGAACTGAACAAAAGAACTGCAACACTTATGACAGAAGACAATTGTTTCGTTTATGCTTGCATTCAGGCTGGAGTAAATGAAGAAACTATTGACCACATGAGAGAAGTCATTCGTGTTAGAGACTTTCCTCAAAGTAAAGTACAAGAAATTTCTGACGCAACAGGTATAGCATTTAATGTTACCATTGGTTATTTCAATGACTCAAGATAATGAAATAGAGATACATACCAAAAGAATGTGAAACTGTTCGAACTATTGACTTACTTCTTGTTGAAGACCACTACATGCTAAATGAAAGATTACCAATGACAACATATTTCATTCGAAACTATATAGAAATCTTCAAAGTGTGGTGGAATGAACATTGAGAAACAGATGAAGATTTATACAAAGAGAGAGATAAATATGTAGTTCGTTATGATAGAACAACACCGTTATGGGATGTTATGAAAACATTGTGGGAGTGCAAATATTTCGAACCTATTTCTTATGGAGAACTTTTCACATATACGACTGACTTATATAAACAGAACCTTGCACCATTTAAAGATTTGACATATGCTCCAAAGTATTGTGTACAACTGAAGAAGAAAGCGAGTCAAAAGAAGTAAATAAAAATAAGTGCAAGTTCATTCCTGAGCACGTTTTCTTTGCTGACTTTGAGTGCAGTACGATGGCTTTCATAAAGCTTTTAACATCTGTTTGACAGTGAAGATGGTTCAGTGAGTGAAAGCATTTGGGGTCAAACTGTGCAACAGAATTTTTGGAGCGACTTCCTGACAAGAGTTTAATATATTTCCATAACCTCAGTTATGATATAAACTTCATCTTAAGACACATGACAGAAGTGAAAGGAACTCCCATCATTAAAGGTTCACGAACAATGCAAATAACTGGCTTATATAAAGGAAGGGCAATTATTATAAAAGACTCTTACAGTGTTATAAATAAGAAGCTTAAACTATTTCCTGCTATGTTTAACTTACAAACAGGACCGAAAGAAGTATTTCCATACAACTACTACAGCAGTGTTTTGTTAGCAAATGACAACAGAACTGGTGTCATTTCTGAAGCATGTAAGTTTATATGCAGATACATTCATAAAAACATAGATTCCATCAAAGGTTGCAGAATAGATGAGAACCACTTCGACTTAGAAAAATATAGCACATTCTATTGCAAACAAGATGTAAGAATTTTAAGAGAAGGTTTTGTTAAGTTCCGCAATGACTTATTGAAAGATTTGATTTAAACGTTTATGACTACGTTAGTATTTGTTCTATTGCTAACAAATTGTTTGAGAACAGAGTATACTTCCCGAATGGAAATCTTTATGACCTCTCAAATAAACCAAGAGAATTTATTTCGAGATGCATTCAAGGTGGAAGATGTATGTTGTCAGATAACATGAAACAAAAGAGCAAAAAGAAACTCATTGCTGACTTCGACGCTGTTTCATTATATCCATCCGCTATAGCAAGATTGTATACTTTAGAAGGAATTCCAAAGTATGAAGGATGAATGTTAAGCACAGAGTATCTCATGAGACATTTATTCGATGACGACCAAAAGGAACCCATTGGTGAAAAGTTTATGTCTGGCTTCTTTGTTCTCATTAAGATAACAGAGATTGGAATACATAGACACTTTCCTTTAATAGTTTGTGACCCTGAACTAAATCCAGAACTTAACGTTCCCAGAAGTTCAAACACTTGCTGTTTAATGTATGTTGACCATATAACATTACAAGACCTCATAAAATATCAAGGTGTCAAATGTGAAGTGTTGCAAGGATACTCTTACGATGGAAACAGAGATATTAGAATAAGAGATGAAGTAAAGAAGTTGTTTGAGTTAAGGTTAAAGTATAAGAAAGAAGGAAATCCTTTGCAAGAAAATATAAAGTTCATTCTGAACAGTATTTATGGCAAAACTATTCTATCTCCTATTGAGTCAAAAATAACCATAGTAAATGACAAAGATGCTATAAGATATGCCATCAGAAACTACAACCATATAGTGAAGTTCGAAGGTTTGGATGGTTCAGATAAAACTATTTTCAAGCTAACGAAAAGCATTTGCAGACACTTTAACTTCTGTCCACTTGGTGTTAATATTCTGTCAATGTCGAAGAGAATAATGTGTGAAGTATTCTGTACTGCTGAGGACATGAGCCTTCAAATATTTTACCAGGACTGCGATAGCATGCATATTTTCAATGAAGACATCCACTGTTAGCTCAGAATTTAAGAAGAGATACGGTAGAGAACTTATTGGTAAAACATTAGGTCAGTTCCATTCTGACTTTGCAGAAATAAAGAAAACAAAGTTTAGCATACAAGTCAATATTTTGTGGAAAGAAGACTTACATAGACTTACTCACGAATGATTTAAATGAAGTTGCATTCCATGCACGTTGTAAAGGTGTAAAACAAGACGTTCTTGCTTTAACAGCTAATGAAATGTTTCCTGAAGCTATACAATGCTATTACAATGAAGATAAGAACATTCACATACCTGTTGGAACATATGACAAAGACTCTGAGTTCAGTTTAATGAAACTTTACAAAGCACTTCATGATGGTCAAGAGATTGGATTTGACTTATGTAAGTCTTCTAGTCCTTGCTTTGCTGAAAAGTTTAACTTTTCTATCAGACTAAGACTTTATTCATAAGAAAGCTTAAGTTCTGAGGTCATTTATTTTTGTCAGCTGAGTCATTCATGATAAAAATAATGAGGTCATATATTTTTGTCATTTATGTATAACCATTGTCTCTCTTAAACTTTGCAATAGACAGTTTTGTTCTTCTTCCTTCTACATCTGTAATGTTTATATAATCTTTGCTATACTGTCTTAAGACATTCATTCGTCTGTATTGAGTTCCCATGAAATAGTAAAAGACATCTTCACTTGGGACATAGTAGTAATTTTCTAGAGTAAATTTAGAGTATTGTATAATTTCAACAGCATCTTCAGGAAGAGTGTCTACAATGTCAAACCAATAGCCATTCGAACCAGAAATATTTCTCATGTTTTGTCTTCTCGACACCCACCTTAAGTTTGAGATATGAAAGTCTCCTCTGTCTCTGTTTATATGGTCTACTTCTCGAAGTCCTTCAGGATTCGGTATAAATTGATTTGCAACAATTTTATGCTTAAAGAGTTTATGTTTGTTTAAATAAACACAAATATAACCATCACCGTTGTCAAACTCACTTACAACTCTTTTGTTACTTATGCGCCTAATTGGATATGGGTACTCTGAAAAGATTTCATAGTCATTGTCATGTTCGAGTGTTTGCCAATGTCCTTCACCTTCCATGCCTTTCACTCAAATAAAAATTTTCAGAAAAAAATAAAACTAGCGTAGATTTTACAATACTGCGATGGTAGAGTTTAAGAGTTGTGCTTCAATGTAGAGACAGTCCTTATGGTCTGGAGGTAAGAACACTGGGCAGTTATGGTCATGAGTGGAGAACATGTCTATCCAAAACTCACGATTGAAGCCAGTTAATTTATAGTATTTAGGTTAGGAAGTGGTGAAGTTCTTGTATGACCAATGAACTCATTTTCAACTCCCTTACTTAAGTTTGAATATAATATAGCTTGCTTTCTATCCCAAATGCCAGGTGTTACAATCTTTGAAAATTCATTTTTCCTCGGAAGCATTGCATCATAATTGAAAACATTCTTGAAATCATCACTTGGTTCAGAGATTTGAAATCTTATACGTAATGGATTTTCTTTCTCTTTAGCGACTTCATTGAATGGTGAGAATACAACAAACTGACAGTCATGTGTTCCATCTTCATTTTCATTAAATTCATAATGAAAGTCTATAAGTTGTGGCTGACTACCTTCTTCTTTCAGTTGTGCAAGAAACTCACGTAAAGGCTGTAAAGTTTGTACTTCAATGTTGAACTTTTTCTCGAACATCTCATTAAATGAAATCATACATTGTTGCAATGTTGTATCGTCTTTAAAGTATTTGTATATGTGAATGTTTTGGGCGCTTAAAGACTGTTCGTCATTTTCTATCTCGACTTGAAGTATAAAGTCAACCTTTCTGAAAGCACGTGTTATATACATAGATGTTATGCCAATGTACTTCTCTTCATTTATGTTCACAATCCAGTCTGTTGGAAACTTAAACGTTACTCTGTTCCCCTTTATTTTGACGTCAGGGTTTTCACTACTGAACGCAACAGATAAAGGTATTTGTCTATACATTTAATTCGGATAAAAATAAACCATTTACTCTTTCTTTGCTTCAGCTTCTTTAGCTTTTGCTTCAGCTTCTTCTCTAGCTTTCTTCGCCAGCAAACGTGGGTTCTTTTGTCTTCCAGCAGCTAATGCAGCAAGTTGTTTTTCACTAAGTTTTCTCTTTGGTCTCTCTGGCTTTTGTTCTTGTTTTTGTTCCTTCAGTTCGGATAAAATTTGCTCACGAATTTCTTTCTTCAATGCTTCAACATCTATGACCCCTTGGGTCTTGTCCGTAGGGCTTGTCTGAGTCATTTGACTGCAGATAAAAAACAAAATTAAAACTTTAACCGATGTAAAATGAGCTTGTCAAAATCAGAAGCGAGAGTCTATTATATTAAATGACGCAGAGGAATACAACATCCTTTCTATTACGTAAGTCAGAGTAAAGATGGTAAAATATGTAAGAAAAAGAAAGGTTCCATTAGCGAATGCAGAGCGACAACATTAAGGTGCATGGCACGAGGGTGAAGCCCATATAAAACCTTCTGTTCAAACTGAGCCACCAAAAGAACCAGAAGAAAAGAAGCCAGATGTTACTTTCAATAACGAACCAAGAGCTTATTGCAAAGTTCGTGAATTTCATTGAAAAACAAACCGAGTCAAAGAACCCTGACCCACCAGTGAAAGAAGTTGAGACAAAAGAGAATGTACAGTTCATTGAAAATGTCAAGAAACAACTTCCACCACGAATGCCAAGAAGAAGAGTGAGAATAATGAAGTAAATAGATATTTTTATCTGAAGTAAATACATGCAGAACGAACAGCTAAACGAATTTACTCCAGCAGAGCATATTCATCAGATTCGCTCATATTTCGATATCATAGACAATGCAGTTCAAATTGGTGACACTAATAGAAAATATTCTGACGCAAAGATTCCATCACAACCTGGAACTGCTAAAGATAACACATGGGTAACATTCAATCTCTCACCTCCTGGTGAAAATATGTTGGACCTTTACAATACATTCATTACGTATAAAATGGAAGGTCAATTTATTGTAGATAAAGAAATTGGTTCAGGTTCCAATAAAACAAACCCACCAGGATTTTGGATTGGTTTCGATGACGCTTTCTATGCAGTTGCTGGATATCAAATCCTTGCAAATGGTCGTATCGTATATTCTCAAGACAACGCAAGAGAAGAAGCATATATAACTTCAAACTCACAAACTACCGAACAAATAAAGAAAGTAGATGTTTTCTCAAAGACTCGACATGAAGATGTATGGAGTCATTCGGGAACATGCAGAACAGGACAAATTGTTAGTGGTCCAATTACAGCAGGAAAATCATTTGATTTTAAGCTTCGTTTAAGAATTCCTGTTAGAAGTTTTTACCATTAGAAGCTATAAGATTTATTCCTGCATTTGCTGGTAACATTCAGCTTAAAGTAAAGTTCAGTAGCGACGCCTTACAATGCACATCTATATCTGTAAATGATATCATTGCTTTCAATCCAACTCTTAAAGTTGCATTTGCTTCAGATTCAAATCCACCGAAAATAAATTTGTTCCATGGAATGAACCATTCACTATGATAACGAAGGCAGTAGAAGCTAGTGGAACAGTTACTATTACAACTGTAACCCAGCAACTATTTCGAACAAAGATGGATTTTAATGAATGTTTCATTCATCCAAAGTCATTCTCTTTAGACCCTAACATTTATACAGAACTTGTAGAACATTATACAAACGAGGCTTTATGTTTTCCTGTTAAAGTTATGGATTGGATTCCTATGGACGGTTCATTCTCAAAGAATACAGATAGTTCAAGTGCAACATTTACAGCAGCTTATACGCCTATTAATGTTAAAAGTATTTGGGCACTATTTAGAAAGAAAGACAACTATTATGTTAATTTTGAGAACCCTAAGTTTAAATATCTTCAGCTTTCCATGGGAGCTTATGGAAATATGCCTGCAGAACCTGAAAAATCATATGGACCTGTATTTTATGAAATGGTTGCGAACGCTTGCAATACAAACAATGATATGATTGGATTTAATGAAGATGTTATGAGGTCATTGGTGGATGATGGTAGTGTGGAACATAAATGGGATAGCTATGACAACACACATTTCTTATGTGGTTTTCCAACTGAAGTGGACTTTTGCTTCCAGCAAGGTCAAACATCTACTGCTCCAATAACATACAAATTGTCTGTTAAAGGACCTATTGAACTAGCAACTGAAAATGTACCAAAGCCACTTATTGGATTTATGAGGGATTGTTGCTTTGCCATCAAGTAAGACAGTCAGGCATACCAATAATAAGATTAGATGACTATAACTTAGCACTGACGACAGTGAGGAATAAAGGATGAACGTTTATTTTTAAAGCTTATAAATGAGTTCTTCATCAAGCTCTCGTGAACCTTCACCATCTATGAAACAAACTTTACCAAACGATTATGGAGCACCTATTGAATATTTCTTACGAGCTGCACAATGGCAAAGAGCAGTCTCACCAAGGTTAGGTGTTCCACCAGCTCCTGTCAAAAATAGCATTTGGTCAAGTCCTTATATAAGATATGGTCTCCCATTAGGTTTGCTAGCTACAGCAGGAGCAGTAATGATGTTGAAAAGAAATAAAGCAAATGTTGTAAATAATACTGAAGTACATGAAGTTAAACAAACTCCGACACCTTCGCCAAAACCAACGCCTTCGCCAAAACCAACGCCTTCACAAACAACACCTTCAATGACTCCTGAACCTATGGAAGTACAAACTCCTGTTCAAAAGTCAACTCCTAAACCGACTCCAACATTTAAACCAGAACCCACACCACAAATAAATTGTAAAACTCCTGCGTTTCCTTACTGAAAAATAACGTTATTTTTATTTAATATTAAAATTTTTATTTGATTGAAATGACAAATAAAGTCACTGAAGCAATGAAACAAAAGTTTTTGGTAGAATACATTAAATCAGGAACTATTCCAGAAGGTTTTTACATTCATACTATGAAGGATGGTAGAGTTCAGTTTAGAAAGATAAAGCAACCATTAGATAAAGAAGGAATTTTGAGAAAGATTAAACTTCATGAGGACAACATTGCTGAACTTAAGAAGAAGTTAGAAGAGTTGGAGAAAGCAGACGACAGTGAGGAATAAAGCAATGAATTCAAGTGGGTGAAAAACCGGGTGAAAAAAGAGGTGAGATTTCACCACTTCACCTAAATTTATTTTTGTGCTATGTTTTCATACGCGTGATGGTGGTGATATCATTATTTTTAAGTTTATTTTTTTAAAATTATTTTTTATTTTATTTTTATATAAATGACAGAACAAAAGCAACTCATTCGAATTCCACAGTATAACAAACATACATTTAAACATTTATTCTTCCTTCCTGAGCATAACATGTTCTTTCAAATACATCCGAGACCAGTTGACTTTTCATTGACTGTGTATAAAGATAGAAATAGTTATATCATTAAACCATACGATGACGAAGGTAAGTTATGTAAATTGTACGTTAAGAAGTTAGAGAAAGTTTATGGCTTCAAGTATGACTACAATAGGGTTAACACTGATGATGAAGATATTGAGGAAAATTTATGAGAACATTAGTGAAGTCGTTAGTGAGAACGATAGTGAGAACGTTTATTTTTTACATTAGTGAGTTCGTTAGTGAGGTGAAGTGGTTTGCGGCTTTGTAAATATTTAAGGTTAAGTTAGTGTTGTCGTTTGTGTTGTAAAATATACGTTAACGGTTTTGTAAAGTGTCAAATTCACAAGTATTGAGTAAGGTGGAACGCAGTGCCACCATACCCAAGACTTGTATACTAACTATTAATCCATTAACTGGAACAAATTACACGCCAAATCAAATGTATCAGCTGAAACCGAAATACACAAATGCAGATACAGAAAGGTTGTGGCAAATATGGGATACAGATACAGGCATGACCGCTGTTGACACATTCACAGCGTAATAATAAACATAATTTTTTAATTTCATTTTTAACAAGTTTTTTTAAATGTATGTAATGAATAATTCATTAGAATATGATAATGCACATTGTAACAGAATAGAACAATCACCAAATTTTTTTTGAAATTAAAAAATAAAAGTAAAAAGTCTAAAGTACTCTAACCAAAAAAGATATTTAAAAGAATTTTGGAAAAAACAGAATAAGGATAATGATATTATTTTAGATACACAATCGATGTACTGAAGAATAATCCGGTAAAATGATGATATAAAATTAGATTATTTACAAGTAGCTAAAGAATAAAACTATAATATAAAATAAATAAAGTTTAATGAAACAATAAAGGGTAAATAAATAATAAAGATTTTTATTTTATATCAGTATTGAGAAGAAGTAACAGCTGACACTTGGTAGACAACTTCTTTATGTCTAGAAAATTCTATCTTGCCTTTTATTTTTTTCTCGCTGTGAAACGTATTCGGTCATTTTTTTAAAAATTAATTTTTTGTTAGAGATAAGAGCTAAAACTCGGTAAACAACTTCTTTATGTCTAGAAATTCTATCTTGCCTTTTATTTTTTTCTCGCTGTGAAACGTATTCGGTCATTTTTTAAAAATTAATTTTTTGTTAGAGATAAGAGCTAAAACTCGGTAAACAACTTCTTTATGTCTAGAAATTCTATCTTGCCTTTTATTTTTTTCTCGCTGTGAAACGTATTCGGTCATTTTTTTAAAAATTAATTTTTTGTTAGAGATAAGAGCTAAAACTCGGTAAACAACTTCTTTATGTCTAGAAATTCTATCTTGCCTTTTATTTTTTTCTCGCTGTGAAACGTATTCGGTCATTTTTTTAAAAATTAATTTTTTGTTAGAGATAAGAGCTAAAACTTTGCAGACAACTCCCCCATGTCTAGCAAATTTAACATTCGTCTCCCATTTTTATATATTTGGTTTAGAATGTTCGAAAATGCGTAATATGGTCATTAATATTAATTGAAAAGAACCTTGAATTAATTCAATCTGATCTCACAAAATATTTTAAATTACAAACTTTGTAGTTTGAATAGATAATTGGTAATAACTCAAATAACTAGTTTATTTTTGAATAAAAATTATTTGAATTTATTCAATTTTGTGAATTTTCCTTCAAAAATCAAGTTTAAATATCTTATTTGCCATATAATTATAAATACAATGAAACATATTCGAAATTGAAAAGAATGACTTTTTCTGTTCTTTCAATCATTCAATTTGAATTTTGCAATATTGGATTTCTCATTAAATAGCTATTAAAAACAACAAGCAATTTAACTTACATTCAAATTTATTTGTGTATTATTCAATCTTCTCAAAACTTATAATTTTCGGCTATAGCATGATTATATGCTATATAATATAATAAACCTATAATAGTATCATTCTTTCAATTATTTGAAGAGAAAACCGAAAAAATCTATTTTCGGTCTATAACAAATTTTATTAAAAATTTAGAATTTTAATAAATATAGAGTTTGAATTTCATACAATACCTATATATTTTCAATAATGGAATTTGAAAACCATTCTCAAAAGTTCTCAGAAAATCTTTTTTTCATTAATTTTAAGAAATCTGAGTATTAAATTATGTGATAAATTCGTTTGACACTACTTTAATTTTTAAGGGTATAGTCCACTAAAAATTTTTAAGTTTTGACAATGAAAATAAGCTCTCTGACCATGTAAATATATATCTATGCAAAACGAGAGGTTATGCCATAATTTTTTTTAGTTATCAAATTTTCCTTTTTTTGAGAGAAGTCTCTCAATAATTTGAGAAGAATCTTTGATATAAAGAGATACACATTTGTAGAACGAAGTAAGTGTTTTCCAAACATTTTATATGTTCATCCTGTATAACAATATAAAGCTGCATAGTGCCATCTTGTGCGTTTGCTATTTTATGCACTTTTCATTGAGATAATCCCTCTTCTCGGGTGATTTTAACAGTCAACTCAATTTAAAATAAAGATTTCATCAAAATGATTTCGAAATTCGGATATTGATTATATAAATAGCACTGTTAACATATTTTGGATGAGTAAAAAATACCTTGTTTTGTATGCATTTAGTACACCTTTATTTTTGATTAAAACTATAAAATTTTTATTCCTTATATAATAAATAGTATATGTTACATAAACATGAAATTCAATAGCATTCAATTTTGGATTTTTTAGATTTGGTAAATTTTAGAAGAAATAAAATCGGCAATCAAAATAAAGAAACTTTTTTTGTATCTTCTATGATTACCTTTTGGTACTAAATTTTGCATTAATAAGTAAATTATCTGTATTATTCTGTGAGCACAGGCCCTCAGTTATGCTGGTAGTGAATGATGAATCGTCATTTTGCGAAGAGAACGCAATTATTAAGGTAATTTTGAGAATTGTCTTGAATTATTTAAAATTAAAGTTAATTGAATAGGTAGGATAACTAGCCTTTGCTAAATTTGTATAATTTGACCTTATTCTAGTTGGATCTGAGAATATTTTGCTGAAATAATAAATTTTATCGCCGATTTATGAAAATTTCTCTGATGGGACCGACTCGCTGAAACGTATTAGTGTTAATGGTAACTTGTCTGAAATTTCAAATTTTTTTCGAAATCCAAAAAATCACAAACAAAAGCATCAAAATTAGATTTGCATTTAAGGTTTTCATTTTTTTTTTGGAAAATAAAAATATTTTTTCCCCAATAAAGTTTATTTTTACTTTTGAGTGTAATAAACAGAAATTCATCAAAAGTGACAGCTCTCAATTTTTTGACATTTGTAAATTCTAAATTGAATGAGAAAAATGAAATAATACTAAGCATAATACAATATTCTAGATTTAATTATAATTAGGAAAAAGTTAGTTTTGAGAGTACTTTTCATAGGCATATAGAATGAAATCTTCTGAAAAATAATATCACATAAACTCATATTATTTTCTAATATATAACTATTTTATATAAAAATCAAATTCAATGATCTTAAAAGCGAAGGATAAACCTCAAAATTTACGAATATAATGAGTGGGAATATAATGCTTATCTATCATAAAACCATATGAAATATCAATTTTTGCTTTACGCCTAATTTTTGACGACAATTAGCAAAAAATGTTAAATGTTAACACTCAGTCCATTTGAATATGAAAAATAAAATTGACTTTGATTAAATGTTTTTATTTATCATGCAATTCTTCTTGCGACCAAAGATTTGAATAAAAGTTCAAAAAATAAGATAGCTTAAAAAATAATATACGGTAGTGTTTACTAATAGATGAATAGTATATAAATTCTATTAAAATGGATTTGATCCAAAAAATATAAAACCAAAAATAATTGTTATAATTTAAATGAAGAAGTAATTTAAAACGATTTTATTTATGATCAAATTTTATATATTTTTTGGATCAAATCCATTTTAATAGAATTTATATACTATTCATCTATTAGTAAACACTACCGTATATTATTTTTTAGCAGCTATCTTATTTTTTGAACTTTTATTCAAATCTTGGGTCGCAAGAAGAATTGCATGATAAATAAAAACATTTAATCAAAGTCAATTTTATTTTTCATATTCAAATGGACTGAGTGTTAACATTTAACATTTTTTGCTAATTGTCGTCAAAAATTAGGCGTAAAGCAAAAATTGATATTTCATATGGTTTTATGATAGATAAGCATTATATTCCACTCATTATATTCGTAAATTTTGAGGTTTATCCTTCGCTTTTAAGATCATTGAATTTGATTTTTATATAAAATAGTTATATATTAGAAAAATAATATGAGTTTATGTGATATTATTTTTCAGAAGATTTCATTCTATATGCCTATGAAAAGTACTCTCAAAACTAACTTTTTCCTAATTATAATTAAATCTAGAATATTGTATTATGCTTAGTATTATTTCATTTTTCTCATTCAATTTAGAATTTACAAATGTCAAAAAATTGAGAGCTGTCACTTTTGATGAATTTCTGTTTATTACACTCAAATTACTATATATACATATGTGGATAAAATAATAGTAATATTGTAAAAAATTAGATAATTTTTTTTATTTGAGAACCTCTCAAAAGTTCATTCAATTTATCAATTGTTTCAGTTTGATGTATATTCATTTCTGGAGCCTAAAACTTTAGCAATCATGACAATATCATATTCTCTTTCTAACTACGCAATGTAAGGGTATCCTTAACTCCAAAATTGCATGCTATTTGGACAAATCAAGAGCCTGGAAGAACATTAACATTAGAGTTAACGTTGCAATCTTAGAATGGAATGATCCAGAGTATTTTCTCGGAGATATACAAAAAGCATTACATCTTCCCCCACTTCCAGAAGATTGTGTCAAATCATTTGAAGAGAATTGTTACTCCAAAATGATATTGAAACAAAAAACTGTTACAAAAGGTTCTAAAAAACAGAACAAATACAAAAAATTCATTCAGAGTGTACCAGGAGGAGATTATCAAGTTTTCAAGTCCGAATGGGAATCAGAAGACGAAGACATTGATGACTTTGATTAACGAAAATTACATTTTATTTATTGTTTTTGTTTTTAATTAAATTATTATTATGCTCATTTTCTTATTTTGATTTTTTCTCATTATGATATAAATAATTTATTAATGCATTTATCCAATAATTATGCTATGATATTTTTATGCCTTATTTCATTTCTCTTATATTTGATAATCTGGTAAAATATAGTTCAGACTATAATCATTTTAGATTATTGATATATTTATATAGGTTAGAATAAAATTAGTTTCATTTTCTACTTTTATTTTGAATTAATAATTTATAATATCAAATATTATGGCGTAACCTCTCCTTTAAAATATAGATATATATAGGCCTATAGAGTTTATTGGCACTCTCAAAACTCTAGAATTTTGAGTTTACTATACCCTTAAATTCAAAAAATTATATGTGCTTCTTAAAATGACTCAAAAAAATTTTATTATAAAATAATATATAATATTAAAAATCCCACAACATTTTTTACTTTACATAATCGTACTTCCTCGACGATTAATTTCCACTCAATTTCTATCGTTGACCGAACTTAGCATGCAACAGTATATCATTGATATACCAAATCAATTAAATATCTAATACTGAAAAAAATATTGTTCATATATTTATATTTATATTTATACAAGATATTATATTGACTATATCATTTCTTATCCTTAGCCATTGTAAGGCTCATCTCTAATTCATCCAATAATGATGCAACGCGTTCAATTGAAGATAAAAGTCCAATTACTTCATTCCAAAATTGATTTACATCTGCTTCATTGAATGGTAACTTCGAATGTATCATATCATACCATGTTGCAATGAATGCTTGTTGAGGTAAATAGGTAGCAATATATACAAGGTAAGTACTGGCAGATTTCTTATATGCTTCAAACGATTTTTCTTCTACTGCGTGTGCTATTTCATTTTCTAATTTAGCACATTGTGCATTTGCTTTAGTATCTGGATTAATAATTAAAGCTTCTAATGGCTCTGTAATTAAGTTCCAATGATGTTCTCTGTAAACGAATGTTCCATGTGTGCTAACAAGTTTGATAACCAATTTTTCTTTATCGATAATAATAGATTCTATAAAACCTGCATTTGCCGGAATTACTGATTGCAAAACAACGCGTTTATCTTCATGAGAAAGTAAATAAAGATTGCCATCTGATGTAATTACCACGAAATATGGATCATATGCCGTAGATGTTAAAATTCTTAGAGGCGCTTGAAAGATTAAAGGGCCATTGACTACTTCAAATGTATTGCTTTTAGTGAAATATAGCATACCGTCGCTTGTCGTATAAATTCCTCGCTGCTTATCAGCGAAAGTACAAATCTCACTCATTGATAGACGTTTAAAAATTATCTGACATTTTCGATTTCATGTGTGCGAAGGACAACGATATACATTTAGGAGAACACAAATCTTTTGTATATCAAAGAAAGATTCAAGGGGACTCATAGTGCAGAGTTTTAAGCATAACATACCTATTTTCCTCAAATAAGACTGTTTGAATATTAAAATACTCTAAATCCGGAAAATTTAAATATTTGTAAGTGCAACCGTATTGTGGAATATCGAGATTGGCCAGGATATAATTCAAAATCGCGTTTAATTCATTTTCGATATGAATATAAAGAGTAAAACGATATTTTGAACTGTAAAGCATAAATTTTGATGTTTAAACCTAAATGTAAATTATTCTCAAATAAAATATGAGAAATTTAGACAATTGTATAGTACGCATAAATAAACATTGAGATTTTATTATATGAATTTTGATCATTTCAGTCCATCTATGCAAATTGATTTTCATCATATACGTTGCTTTGGAAACATCTAATCAGATTAGTTACATCATACTCAATGATATTCTTGGCATCTATCTAGATATTGTGACAACCTTAAACTTCATAATTTAGTTTTGGCGCAATAATTTGCTATCCTGCTTAGAACCACATCTATAAAATTTTATAGCTATATATGCATAAGCTGTAAAAAAATTTAATAGTATTGAATGTGTAAATTATATAAAAATATTTTTACTGATACAGTGATTTTGGGGTAGAGAAATAAAAAAATTATGGGTGACTATTCATGTCGAATATTTGCATGTAATCATCAAATAAGATATTGCTACTAGTATCGTACTGGCCATGAAGTAGAAAATCTTCCGCAGTAAGATCAAAATTAAAGAACTTAAAAACTTCTTGAAGTTTTGGAATGTCTATCATGCCTTGTTGATTTGGTTTGCCACCAAGTGCTTCGAATGATTGTGAAACGTATTTACGAAGTTCTTTCATTTCTTTCTCTTCTTCCTTATTGCCATAGATATCGCAGAATCGATCGAATCCAATGTCCCATTGCTTGTTTTCTTTGTACAATGTGTCTGTATCTGTTTCAATCCCGAGTTGACGAAGTGCTGTAACTGCTTCGAACAAAGAAATAGTATCACAGCTCTCGCCTTTGATCTTATCATAGACGATTTTTGCTGCTTCCTTGTCCTCAGGATAAATCTTACCACTCATTAAATAACGGAATAATGTTTACATATCGTCCTCGAAAAAAACTCGTTGCTTTCCTCTATCGATACTTATTGTCCAGATCTTTTGTACAAAGCAACGAGTTATGTGTGTATATGTAAGTTGTTCCTTATACTATCTCCTTTCTATATGCGTTTTTGATACCAAATTTTAATTTTTAAATATTTTCAATGATTGAGAGAACATACCTATGATGTTTGTGTGTGCATTTGATTTTGTCGGAGGTTAAGATTGAACCCTATCATTTGCTCATGATTTTCACAATGAGAACGCTTTGAGCACATTGCAAAGTATGTGTTTGGCTTTGTTATGAATCCCTATGGTTTAAAAATTGTATTATATTAATATAATGTGGTGATGTCTGAGGAATTTCGTATAAATATTTCAAAAATAATTTAATTCTTATTATATCTAATTTTAAACTTCTAACATGGAACTTGTTTAAACCATATGCAAATATGGTATTATAATGAATCGTTTTTTGTTAAGGAAAAATGAAATATGGAAAAGATTCAAGCGATAAATGAAATCTAGGAGGTAATATATATTGCAATATCAAAATCCATTAAGAGTTAAAAACATATTTATTACATAACAAAATAAAAGTCTAGTTTTCTAGATTTTCTGGTAATGTTGGAGTTGTAGTATCATTTGGTATTTTGATACTGCAACGATTGCATTTGCATGTTGTAATACCACGATTAAGGCCGCATTTACATACATTTTCGGAAAACTCAATTTCTTTAAGATAATGACCTCTGTGACAAATTTGAGCGCATGAATTGCAAACAAAATCTAATCCGCATGTAAAACAAGCATATCCGTGTTGTACTTGTCGTTCTTTAGAAATTAAATTTGTACAAGGAAGCGAAGATTCATCAATTAAGCACTTACAAGGACGATGTAGCATATTCTGACCGCAGGCACAACCAGTTAAAAATCCATTTTGAAGGACTACAAGTAAATGGCCTTTGTGGCAAGTTTTAGCGCAAGATTCACATATCGGTAAGCCCTTTGATTGAGTGCATGTCAAACATTGATAATATACTTGTTTTACTGGGGTGATTCCATTGACTGCAAAATTACATTTAGAATTTGTTCCCGAATTTTCTTCCGAGTTTGATTGTCGTTTGATTTTGTCAATTGTTTCTTGGTCTGGTTCGTAAGAACTAATAATTTCTATGTGGCTAAGAGATTTTATTTTATAAAAATCTAAACAATTGGAGCAAATCACCTGATGCTTCTTTTGTGGTTCGCCTTTTATGTGGGTATGTAAATTCATCGGTATGTTAGTGTTTATTGAATATTTCTCTTGGCAAACAGGGCATTTTAAATCAGTATTCATTTATTATTTTTTTCATACTCCTTTTTGTGATAAAAAAAATTCACCGTTGAAAAAGCAAGCGATTTCGATAATATAGATGCATTATAGTTATTCGCACCTATAGAACAAATATTTAAAACGTTTTTTATATTTTCCGTGATACCTTAAATTTCTGATTCAATTTGTGGAGAATTCGGGGATAATTTTGAATGCATTTTGAAAACTTTGCCGCGAAAATTAAGAAGTTTACAATATGCGCGCTAAAAAATTCAAAGATTTTTGTGCCTTTTATATGGAGATTACTCCTTCGCAGCTTGTTCCGGAAGAATTAAACGAAAAAGAATTCAGGCCCCAACGATATTGGATATCTGGAAATGTTCAAGATCAAGCTGTGAAAATTAGAAACCAATTGGTCACAATTCAACCTGGTATTTTCTCAACACCTGACTTTGGTGATGTTCGAAACATTCATATTTGCTCCGTTGATGAAGTTGTCTCTCATTTTGGTACAAAGATTTATATGATAACGCCTAGTTATTTAAATCAACTGATCGAAAAGGACATTGGAGGCTTCAATCTCACAGACAAAGCACGCCAAAGAATATCTCTCTACCTTTATAATATGCGAATTGCAATTACAGGTGTTGAATCTCAAGAATTCATATCATTGCACAACAAATTGATACTTAATGGCGCAACTCCTGTTCATCCATCAAACATCTCTCAAATGAACATGATAGCTTCTTCAAAGGTACTTGATAAGTACGTCTTGAACGCAATTTCTCATGGTATTACAGCAGTCTCCCCAGATTTCATATCAATGAGCTATTTATTGCAGAAAGATATACCTGTTAACGACTACATTCTCAAAAACTTTACCAATATTACAGTAACTACTTCAGATCTCGATCCATCAACAAATAAAAATTTGAAAGCATTAGTAGTTGATGGAAATGGGAAATGGAATGATTGTTTGGATGATTCAGTTGATTTCGTAATTGCAGAGAGACTAGCGATTACGAAAAAGATTAAAATCGCTTTAGAAAATAAAATACCAATTGTAAAAGTTGATTGGATTAAAGATCATTCGCAAAAACCAACAAGTGTGATGCCATATGTAATCAATTTTTGGTCTGTTGGTGAATCTTTTGACGTTTTTCATGGAAATACATTTAAATTAGATCAAAAATGCGAAGATCCTCAGCTTCTTATGGATGCGATAAGAGAAAGTAATGGTAAGTTTGATGTAAATGAATCATATGTTGTAGTTCCAAACTTTTCAAAGAAAATTAAAAATTCAGTCACTCAGCATTGGATTTGGGCATGTATTAATCAGAAACAGATCATTCTGTTGGATTCATCAGTGATGTTCACTCCGTTCGGGTATGAATCCTATACAAAAGAGCTCGAAGGCGTTGGAATTATTGTATTAAATTTAGAAAAGGAAACTAATGAAGTTATTGATATTCTTAAACTATTTGGTGCTGTTATAAGAAGGAAGATTGTTAATGGAGCCAAATATATGATATGTTTGCCAACAAATTCAAAAGATTTCCAAAAAGATCTAAAAAGAGCTCATAAAAAAGGCGCCAAGATATATCATCCACAATGGGTATATGAACTGGCATCAACTGGCAAAATTCCTAAAAATATTAAAGAAATTCCTTCTGATACATCAAAGAATTTCCAGAATATTGTCAGCAGCATTATCAATACAAAGAGAGTTATTAAGCCTTCGCAAATGGAGAAATCTGCATCTAAAAATCTTGATGAATACGAATCTGAAGATGAAACTGATGATTCAGACAATGATATCACATATCATACACCATCTCATGTCTCAAAGAAAAAGAAATCTAAAGATGATCAGCTCATGAAGATTTTAGGAGGAGAAGATTAAATTTTTAATAAAATATTTTTTTGTTTGTATTATAAAACACAAATTTTTTCGCATAGGGTGTTTTCCCATAAAGTATAATTGATTCTATAGTTCATTCCAATAAAGAACTTTCAATTTCATTGATAATTAAAAAAATCATTAAAGAATATGATTTCCATCATGAACCAAATGGATGAAATTGCAGTGGTCGTATTTGTTGTTTCATTTTCGTCTTAATCTAAATTTTCTAAAATCAAACAATGAATTCAAGGATCTTATGAAATACTACATTGAATATATTTGAATTAGAATTGATGTAGTGTATCTGGTTAAGCTGGCGAAGTCCTGAAGAACTTAAAGTATTGTTGACATTTGCATAACGTTCGCAATCTGTAGTAGTCGCTTCAATGTGTTGAAGGTTGACCTGTAATAATGACAAACTTTCATCGAGTTCATCAAAATCATTCATTAAATTCTTTGTTACTCTATCAAGTCTATTTATTCCATCATTGCGGAAATATCGAGTGTTTGACACAGATATTTCTTTAATTTTAAGATTTGGTATTCTTTTGACAATGACATTTGGAATATCAATCTGTTGTTTAGGTGTTTCTTTTATTTCTTTTGGAGGTTCATCTTGTTCTACTTTACCAAGATCAAATCTTTCAGATGATGAAATAAAATCTTTCAATTGATTCTTTTTTAGTGCAAATTTACGTGTTTTCTTTGTTTCTTCTAGTGTAAAATTGTTATGTTCATATATATTCTCAATGAACTGCTTTGCATTATCTGTGTTCAACCCTTGGATTGATCCTCTTCTAAACGCTGAAGCTTTTTTCATCGTGTCAGAGTTTTTTTGAATTTTTATTTTACCAATTCAAAAAAAAAATTAAAAATTAAAAACGTGACACTCAATTGAAAAATAATTTGAAAAGGTCTGTTTGGCTTTTCCTTCCTTTTTTTTCGATGAGAATTACTCTTGCTTACCCAGAAAACGGTACACAGGTTGTCGTTGATATTGATGACCCAGCTGCCCTCAACGCTCTCTACGAAAAGCGTGTCGGCCAAGATATCGAAGGCGAGAAGCTCGGTGGCCAATTCAAGGGCTATCTCTTCCGCATCGGTGGTGGCTTCGATAAGCAAGGCTTCCCAATGAAGCAGGGTGTTATCACACCACGCCGTATCCGCCTTCTCCTCAAGACAGGCGCATCCTGCTACCGCCCACGTAAGGATGGTGAGCGCAAGCGCAAGACCGTCCGTGGCTGCATCATCTCCGACGAAATCTCCGCCCTCCACTGCGTTGTTCTCCAGAAGGGTGAGAAGGAAATCGACGGTCTTACAACAACAGCCGTTCCACGCCGCTTCGGTCCAAAGCGTGCTTCTACACTCCGCGCCATGTTCGGCATCACAGATTCCAAGTTCGATGCTTCCAAGCTCGTTCTTAAGCGCGAAGTCAAGCCAGGCAAATTCACATCTCCAAAGGTCCAGCGCCTTATCACAGCTCGCCGTGTTGCCCGCAAGAACCGTATGCTCAAGGAGCGTAAGGAGAAGCGTGAAGCCACAAAGAAGAAGGCTGAGCAATACCAGGCTCTCCTCAAGCAACAGCAGAAGCAGTAAAAACTACTCTTTATTCTGGTGTTAAATTACAAAATCAATATTTTTCAAATCAAATACCAATTTTTATCAAAATTTAAAATTCGCTAAAGAACGATTTTATCAATCCAATTAGAATTACCAGTCATAAATAGATCTTTAATTAGATTGCAAAAAGCTTGTTTTCAATATTTAAAATTCAGATGAAATATATGGAATAATGATAGGTAATATCAAGCACTTTTATCTAGCTTTGGCTTTGTAAAAATATATTTAAGTTTTCTAAGTTCATTGTTATAACCAAGTATCATGATAATTAGAAAATTGCAATTAACATGAATTATTAGTAGTTAAAAGAGGATGTTCCTTAGTGATTCTTAGATCAAGGTGCAATTCATGATTTACTTGATTATTGTTAGAGAAAGAGAATATAAAAATTCGAAATGAGGAATTGTCACTTTTGACAGGACGATATGTAAATTCTGTTTAAAAAAATGGAGAATAAATTCCATTTTGGTTTGAAATGCGTAGTTATTGGACAGACAATAGATTTAATGAAGCGTTTCGTTGAATCAGTTCCTGGTGTTGAAGTTGATCCAGCCGAAACTTTCAGATTCTTAAAAGTTTATACATTTCCACTGTACGTTTCTGACAGTTTAATTCTTAGAATAGATTTATGGGCACTTCCAGATGATGTCCGCCAAAGAGGTGATGCTCAGCTCCTCTGCTGCGATGCTTCTATTGTATTTTACGTTGCAGAAACAGAAAATGATCTTCTTTCAATTTTATCGGTTTATCATAGAGATATTCGTGCTGTTAATGCACAATGCAAATATATCGCATGCGGAAATCTTTCAGAAGATTCTCTTGCTGCTTTAGGAAAGGCTAGCGGCTTTACAATTCAACATATCGAAAATATGGAACCAAGCCAAATAGCATTTGTTTTCAAAGGAGCTATTGCTTCAGTTATTAGTGAAATTCCAAACCCACCTGATCCAGTATTTATGTTACACAAAAATATTAAACTTGGTTCACTTCTTCTCGACGATCCATCTTATCGCCGTGCATTAAGACCAAGTTTCCCTCAATAATAGAATTTTAGTTTTTTTTTATTTTTATTGCTATTTTCTTTTGTGATACTCTCTTTAAAACTTCGCTTTTCTAGGTAATTGCATATTAATATTAGTAGTGCCTCTGGGAACCACATTTTATTTTATTACAATTAGTTTTTGCGAAAATTCAAATTGATCAAGCTTGAATAGAAATTTTTATTAATAGTGAATCATAATATTCCTATAAACTTAGTCATATTCGGTAATTTTATGCGAAAATTTTTATGAACATTGTTTTTCACATGCATAACATAGTACGTATTTCGCCTAAAGAATTTTTAAAATATTTTTTTGGTAAAATACAAATAGAAGACTTTTAAAATTTTGAATGTCTGATCAAATCATTGTTCCAAATAAATACAGTGAATTGATAAGTAATTATAAAAATTACATTGATACATTTACTGCATTGTATCAGCTAAAAACGGAAAATAAAGAAGAATTAAACTCGATTTTCAAATTGATCAAAACAAATTTGATTGATTCAAAGATCTATCTTCCTCAAAACATTGTAAAAACCATTTTAGATATTATTCCGTTTAATAACCGCTATACAAAGTCATACTTGGATCTTGTGAAAATCATTTCAGAGGATTATCATATAGAAGAGTTAACAAATATTCCAAATTTTTATGTCTTCCTCATTTATAAAGGATACGGATCTGATTATGAAAGTTCAAAAGATTTGGAAAAAATGAATATAAAAATCTCAAATATTCATGCAGAAAATACAATTTACAGAGCTATTATGGATGACGACATAGAAAGATTCATTGCATTCACGGTACGTGATGGATTTAATAAAGATCAAGTGCTCAATAGCAATCTATTTCCTCCAAGTGCGGTTACTAAATATTCATTACTTGAATTATGTTGTTACTATAGATCAGTTAGATTTTTCAAGTTATTAAGAACTAAATTTAACTCAGAAATAACTCCAACATGCTTAAAATTTTCATTTTTAGGAGGAAATCCAGAAATAATGAGTGAATGTTTGAAATGCTAAAAACCATATAAAGAATGCATGAAATATGCAATTATTTCGCACAATATTGATTTTGTTTCGTTCTTGATGAATGAATACAATATAGAGATTGATTTAGAGTATTGTGGTGTTTATCAAAATCTCGATGTATTTTTTGTTTATTTCGATCAAACGAATGATATTAACAAATGCTTTCTTTATTCAACAATTTTTGGCATTCCATCCCTTTGCGAATATTTCCTTTCACAAGGTGCAAATATCAATTCAAAAAATATTTATGGATCAACAGCTCTATATTATGCATCTTGTTTTGATTCCTTCGAAGTTGTTAAATTTCTTATTTCACATGGTGTAAATATCAATGAGAAAAATATTTTGAGAGAAACTGCTCTTCATAAGGCAGCATTTAATAATAGTAAAGAAATCGTTGAATTTCTTCTAGCTCATGGTGCAAATGTCAATGAGAAAGATAATCTCAATGAAACCGCTTTTGATAAAGCAGTATTTAATAATAATAATTATAAAAAAATCATTGAATTTCTTAATTCACAAGATGGAAATATCAATAAGAAAAATATTTTGGGAAAGACTGCTCTTCATAAGGCAGCATTTAATAATTGTAAAGAAATATCTGAAATTCTTATTTCATATGGCGCAAATATCAATGAGAAAAATAGATGCGGAGATACCGCTCTTCATAAAGCAGCATTTAATAATTATAAAGATATTGTTGAAATTCTTATTTCATTTGGTGCAAATATCAATGAGAAAAATGATTACGGAGATACCGCTCTTCATCATGCAATATTTAGTAATAGTAAAGAAGCTGCTGAATTTCTTATAACGCATGGTGCAGATATCAATAAGAAAAATAAAGAAGGAAAAACTGCTCTTTATTATGCAGCAATAAAGGATTTGAAAGAAATAGTTGAAGTTCTGATTTCACATGGTGCAGATGTCAAATCTTGAAGAAAAAATAACTTTATGTAAATATTTAATAATACTAAACTATGTATTATGCTAGATATTGCGAAATATTTTTGATAACATGTAAAAAAGTATAAATTTTTCGAAATCAAGCCTTGAAAAGTATATTAATTTTACTAAATATATGCATTTTATTATATGCAAATGTTTAAACATGTATATATTTTCCTCCAAAGTTCTTTCAATTATCTTGAAAGGGAGGGAAAAATATAAAATATATTCACGCATTGAATCTCACCATATTGATTGGATAAAGGTCATACTCAATAACGGATTTGGCCACTTGTTTATCCAAATCAACAATTAAAAAAATAGATTTATTTTGATTTTTTTAATATTAAATATTCATTAATCTGAGAACCATGCTTAAAGATTGTTGTTCTCTTTATTATCTTTGTTTAAATGCTTAAAGTAAATAAATAAATTCAACAATAAAATGAGTATAATAACAATGGAAAATAAATGCAGTCTAAATTCACCTATATATATTTTGAAGCTTGGATTTTAATTCAGAATGTCATCCAAAATGAATTTGAAATTATTGGAGAAATTGCTTCATTATTTAACATTTATCATTTCCTTATATACATCATACTATAAAAATGTATTTAATGAATTCAGATCTTTACATATCTATAATCCTAAGATTACCTTCTCGCATTTTTTATGTGGTCAATTCATTTCAAAAAAAACGATAATATCCAGTCAAATCTATTAAAAATTTTAAGAGCTATCGTATTGCTCATCGTATTATGATTGCTTCGTAATTTAGGATTTCACCCATCATTTTTTCCAAATCAATTTGAGAGCATTGAAATTTTGAAACTGCTATAGTTCGATTAGAATAGTAAGAAAATGTATGTTATGTAATTTTAATAGTTTTGCTTGAATTGTGATATCAAATTCAATTGTTTCTAAAAAATTTACAAAACTATCATTTCATTTAAATGCTTACATCTATTCCATCTAGATTTGCAGCAAATGTTTTATTGTTCAATGCCTCACCACGCATTAACAACAACACAGTTAAGCTTCTTAAAGAAGTTAAATGCGGTGTTGAATCTGTTGGCAAAACAGCAGAAATTGTTCATTTAAGTAAGATAAAACATATGCCTTGCCAGTCGTGCCTCGCTTGTAAGCGTTTTGATTCACCAAACAAATGTATTATCAAAGATCAATTGTCTAAATACCTTGATCAACTACATGAAGTTGACGCATTTGCAATCGCTTCTCCAATTTACTTTGGAAACTTTGCAACAAACTACTATTCTTTTGTCGAACGTGCATTTTATAGCAATTATACGTACAGCAAAAAGGGTCTTAATAAATTTGGTCGTAAGATTAAGACAGGAATTCTTGCCTCAATGCATTGCGATGAAGAATTGGCAAAGAAATTGTATACAAATTTCTTGAATTCTCAAAGGTCAACCTTTGAAAGGATTTTTGGATCATGCACATTAATTACAAGCAATAATCAATTGATCACACCGAAAGCTAATATCGATTATGATATGACATTTTTCGATATTGAAAAAATGAAAGAAAATCTCAAAAAGCAAGATCCAATTGTCCTTAAGCAATGCTTTGATTTAGGTGTTAATTTGGCATCTGAGTAAAGTAATAATTTATATATACCGCATATAATTTTTTTTATACTTTTTTAAAACTCTTCAATTTATGTGTTTTGCCAATATATATGCATTTACTACAACTTATTGTTTCTAAATATTGCAAATTGAGTGTTCTGTTTAGTTTTATCTCTGAAAAAAGAATCATATCATTGTATAAAAATGATCTAATATGAGAATAATGATATTTTCTATCTGACATATGTGTTAATCCACAAGAAGTTTCAATGAAATTTTTATAGATCAATGATATTTGTAAGATTGAGATATGATATTTTCTATATTTAAAGTTTTCTATCATTGAATCAATAATAAAATAAGTAAATTATCTATTATTCGATATGGTTCTTGTTGAATACAACGCGATCATTTTACTTTTAATTCATATTATTCATTCAATATTTAAAATATAGTTGTGATCAATATGTTCTTGATAGGAATAGAGTTTTATTGACTTCATTGGTGTCACTTATGTATCATTGTAAGGGATTTATCAGTGAAGCTTTGGATAGAAATACCCATATTAATTCAAAGAAAATCATTTCATTCAATATTAATTCATATCTATCATTCAATATAAGTTCATACATATTCGATATGAATTCATGTCTATTGTTCAATGTGAATTCATATCATTCGTTCAATATGAATTCATACCTTTCATTCAATGTGAATTCATATCATTCAAAAATTGTCAGAAATTTTTTATAAAATAAAATCACTTCATTTATCAAGAATGGAGCTTCCACAACTCGGATTCGGTACTTATAATGCAACTGACCCTGCAAAACTCAAAGCAGCGCTTCACTACGCAATAGAAGAATGTGGTGTCAGTGAAGCATGGGCATATTTTAATCAAAAAGTTGTTGGTGAAACACTCAAAGAAATATTTGCCAAAGGAAAAATAAAGCGTGAAGACTTGTTCATTACATCCAAAGTATGGGGTACCCATCACAGAAAAGAACTTGTTGAACCAGAATTGCGTGAAACACTTCAAGACCTTCAACTTGATTACATTGATTTATTCTTAATGCATAACATCGTTGCTTTCAAACCGTGTGAAGGAAAAGTTCTATGGGAGAAAAACGAAAAAGGTCAACAAATTTATGAAGCAATTGATATTCTTGAAACATATAAGGCAATGGAAGAGTGTCAGAAGAAAGGTTTGACGAGGTATATTGGAGTTTCTAACTTCTCTATAGAACAACTTGAAAGAGTTTGGTTCAACTGCGAAATCAAACCATATGCAAATCAGGTTGAATGCAACATATATAGACAGTGCAAACCACTTCTTGAATACTGCGAATCTCACAATATATACCTCGTTGCACACACACCTCTTGGACATCCTCCGTTAATCGGTCCTTTTGGAACAACACTTCTTGAAGATCCTGTTGTTAAGTCAGTTGCAGAAAGCATCAATAAGACAACAGCACAAGTCTGCCTGAAGTTCTTACAGCAGAAATCAAAGAAATATATTCTTATTCCAATGTCAATGAATCCAAAGAATATCAAAGCAGACTATGAACTTGATTTCGAGTTGTCTTCAGACAACATGTCAAAACTTGAATCATTAGACCGCTTCTACAGCTTCTACAACTTCTCAGAACGTCATGGTGTTGACTCACAAGGAACAGGATCAAATAAATGGGTACTTTAAATTTTACTTTGATTGAATAAATACTAATAATATATAATCTCTAATTTGAGAACTATTTTTAGAATGAACATGAAAGCTTATTGGATTTGATAGAAATCTAAATGAAATATACTGTTGACATGTCAACAAATTTATAGAAATTCAATCAAATTTTAAAGAAGATTTTGATTAACTAAAGTTTATAGAGATGAAATGATATATGTATTATATTATATGCAAAGTTATAAGGTAAATTTCTTCAAATTACATTGAAAAATGAATAAAATATTTCAATTTGATACATTTGTATCAAATCTACTCTATATTTGTAGATAATGCAGATGGTTTTATTCGAAAATCACTGACGTATAACTAGAAAGCCTATTTCGAAAAATTTACTTGCTGATTTCACCAAGGAACTTAGTGAAGACAGCGCAGAACTTGCCTGTGTATTCGATGTTGAGGGACTCATCGAAACCGTGTGGATTCGAGTCTGTTCCTGCAGCACCAGTAACAATGATCTGAGCCTTTGGCCAAAGACCCTGGAGAGTGTTGCAAAGTGGGATAGAGCCACCTTCTCCGTAGTAGAGTGGTTTCTGGCCGAAGACATCCTGAGATGCGCCTTCGAGGGCAGATCCGACCTTTGGCTCGAAATCTTCGCCGAACCAGCCGTTGCCAGCGCCGAGTGACTTGAATGTGACCTTAGCGCCGTATGGTGGGTCGCGTGTAAGTTCCTTCTCCATTGCGGCGAGAGCTGTTTCAGCATCGACGCCTGGTGGAAGACGGAGGGAGAGCTTGAGGCCTGTAGATGTACGGATGACGTTTGAGCCTTCTGAGATGATTGGAAGTCCAGATTGGCCTGTAACAGCAAGACCTGGCTTGAAAGCCTTGTTGACAAGCAACTGGCCCAAATCTGTAGAGAGGAGCTGAGCGCCCTTGACTGGTTGGACGATTTCGACGCATGCTTCGCCTAATTGCTTGGCAATCTCGTTGCACTGGTCGATACGTGACTGTGGGATATCGATATGAGCTTCCTTGAGCTTGATCTCACCTGTCTGTTCGTCTTCGATACGAGAGACGAGCATTCTGGCGATACGGAAGGTATCTGGGACTAAGCCTGTAGCCATACCTGAGTGGCATGGTGTAGCGAGGTGCTGGACCTCGAGAACACCCATGGCGACACCACGAAGTGACTTGCAGCACCAGAGTGTCTTGTAATCTTCGGCTTCTGCATCAATGACCATGATAACGCCAACATCGCCGATGGTTGGTTTAAGCTTTGGAAGGTAGTTCATGATTTCGTCATCGCCGGACTCTTCGCCTGTTTCCATGAGCATGACAATTCTTGGATGTGGAATATTGTGCTCCTGAAGGTACTTGATGGCTGTGATGACGAGGAAGCCTTCGTAGCAGTCATCGTTCGTGCCACGGCCGTAGATCTTGTTGCCGCGAACGACTGGATTTGTTGGGCCAAGGCCTTCGGACCAGCCAGCTGGGTCAAGGTGTGGCATCTTGTCGAGGTGTCCGTATGTGAGAACGGCTGGAACATCGTGGTCAGCTGTTGATTCGATTTCGACCATAAGGAGTGGTTCAACATTCTTCTCTTCGAATGTTGTGACCTTGCATCCCTTGAGGTTCTGAGCCTTGACCCAGTCAGCCATGTAATGAAGGGCTTGGTAGACAAGGCCATTATCAAAATAGTGATCGTCGTAACCGTGTGAAAGGTTTGGAATGCGAATGATGCCTTTAAGGCCTTCAAGAGCAAATCCTCCTTCGGACCAGGTTTGAGCGCAATACTTGATGCAATCCTCAGTATTCATTCAAAAAAAGTGAAGTGACGCATCATAGTTTTTTTTTATGATGATGGGTTTTGTTATCCCTTAGCCAATCAATGAGATGTGACATGTGAATTAAAAATCAAATATTTATCCAAAATTTTGGATTTCCGAAGACAAAAATCTGCAGATAACGTCTGATTTAGGTATAATTTGGACTTAACTTATGAAACATTAGCATTCCCCCAAGAAATTTCCAATAGAACTGGAGAAAAAATTCAGATTTGAATGAAATAAGTTTTTTTGTACAGTAGCCCATTTGCATAATCATTTGATTCACTTGTTTGCGTAGGAAAATGGTTTGTCATATGAACATTTGCATTAAATATTCTAGGAGTACTCAATATCATCGAATTCAGATAACAAAATCCAAAAAGGTGTTATATCTTTGAGAAGCCTATATAGTGTAAAGATGTTCTAATCCATTTATAGTACACTTTTGTCGAATTGAACATGTTTATAAAACAAAGCTCGGAAAAAAGGAATTACTTAAGAAGGATTCATGTTATTTATCTTCTAAAAGAGTTCTATGAAATGAAAGTATAAAGATACAAAAAAAAATTCAATATATAAGATAAGTAAGGTATTATCAAACAAATATGTCTTTATTAAAATTTATATGAACTGTGAAATATACCTATTATATGTAAAAACAGTTTTTGACGATTTATTTTCTGTTTCCAATTGGAACATGGAAATTAGGTTCACTGAATTTGTAATTCTGAGCAATATCTGATTCTTGTCTAGCGTCGATACTTCTGTTTACATTTAATGACTTAAGTTGATCAGATGATGTAGTAGATATGTGCCATGAAGCAACTAATATATTGAGAGCATCGCGAATTATTTGTGGTGTAACTACTATTTGTTCGCCTTGTCTTTGTTTTGCCTTTAAAGTCTGGATTAAATCTTCTATGTATCTATAAAACATTTCTACGAGCATATCGGGGACAGCGTCATCATATTCTGTAACTCCTTCCCTTGCAAGCATTCTTTTCATATAATCAACGATTGTTTCTGGTTTATCTAATTGAATATCTTCACCCATTGTTTTTTCCTAATAACAAAAGTGACTTTTTTGAATGGAAAACGATTAAATTTAAGAGAATGGAGGGAGAAAATCCTGCTGATTCGAAGCACACGTGCTTTTGTGTATTCCAGCATAATCCATTCAAGCGTGGCGATGAGGGTGTTGAAGATGCAGGTAAAATTATCGAGCAATTAATATATAAATACCCAAGTACAATACCTGATCGCCAAATGGAACATCTTTTGGGTGTTCTTATTGCCTTATATACATTTTCTAACTTATCATTAAATGGAAAAACATTAGATTTCATTTGTTGGTCGAATTCTAAGCTCGCAATTCAAACTCAACAGCTTGAAGATCAAACGATGATATTTTTCGTTCTTCGTGCACCATCAGCATATAGTGATATATCTATTAGCGTTGCTCTTGATCATATTAAGAAAGGAATATTTTTCGCTCTTGGAGCCGGAATAAATCATATTCCAACTTTACAAGAATATCTTAAGACTAAAGGTGATCAGATTCTCAGCATAGAATTGCCTGAAGACCTTCCTAATCCACTTCCTTTCTCATTTACTAATCTACCGAACGCTGAGTGGCAGAGATCAAGTGTAGCTGCTACATTTTTGGAACTTCTTGTTATGAGAATGGATCCAAGAATCTGGGGCTGTGCTTGTTTCAGCGATAATTTGCTCTTAGTCTCTCACAGCTCCCTAGATATTATAAGCTTGTTTGACTTCGCTACTGGAACAGACTCGAGATCTAAGGTATATCTAACAAGTAATGATAGAGCATCTTTAATTGACTACAAAGGCAGCACTGCTAAAATACCAGAAGGCGAAATAATCGAGTCTACGCTTCTTCGATTCAAAGAAGACAGAATTACTCTTAGTGTTCTTGCTTCTCCTGATATCGACGACGCATTAGTGGGAAAGATCTCAGCAAACTTAAAACGTGCAGCTCCACAGATATCATCAATACAAACAGATCTTCAGAGAGCTACAAATCCTGCAAATACAATCGTTTACGATAGCGAATTGAATTTACTCAGATGCGGATCTACAACACCGACATTCCGAGCTTCTGCAATTGAAGCTCATGATATGTTCGTAAGAGATCCACGTCTTAAGGACGTAATTATGTCAAATGTAAAGGAATTTGCTCTTTGTATGAACGTTTTGGACGTTGAACACTACGCAGCAGTTCCAACAGCTGGAAAGAATCTCAGTGACTTATATGATGAAGCCATTAAACTAAATCCAGAGTTGATCAGATATCTCAACTCAATTCATCTTCCCGACTAATTTATCTTTGTTATTGTTACTTAGTTGTTGTATTTTAAATGATAATTTTAGAAACTATCTGGTTTTTAATTTTTTCATAATTATTGCTACGTAGTTGATACAATTTTGATCGGTATTTTGCCTAAATTCGAATAATGTAGAAATATAGGATCGTATCATTAATTTTTGTCTGATATCTAAAAATTTATAAATAGTTTATTAAATATTATTAATGTTTATTATATAGGTTAAAAATTTTATATATAATTATTGATTATGTAGCATTTATTTTTTCTTGAAATTCATTCAATGTCGAGAAAAATTAATTTTTTGTAAAATAATTTCCAAAAAAAATTCAAAATTTATTTTTCATCATTGATCTTCTACAAATTGGACTTCATTTTTTTATTTTCGAAAAAAATTTGGAAAAATTTCAAGATAGATATCGAGTAAGGATATATGGTTCAATCTAAACAAGAAGGTATCAGTACTCAATTCAAAGAAATCCAAATTTATTCATTTTATTCTTGAGTTAACTTAAATTTTTGCAAGGATTTTTCATATGTAGAGGCAGCAATGAGAATGTGCTATATTATTAGGATATTTATATTTGTTTATTAATAATTCCGTAATCTGAAGAATTTTCAATTATCTTATCATATGAAATCGGAAATAATAAAAAATAGATCTTCAAAAAAATGTTGTCAGAGACTACTGTTTCGAATAAGATTCTCCCAACATCAAATGAACTCAAAGAAATGAGAAAACCAAATGAAAATCCAAAGGATATTGCTTGGACTGATCACGAAAGGCACTTCTTTGTAATTACCGATTCTGCACGTCCTGTTTACGTCAGATATGGTGATGAAGTTACAGTAACACCACTTCTCTGCACAATTGTCACATTTTGCGGTCAGCTGATTCGTGATGGTAATCAAAAACTTCAATATTTCGTGGCAGGAAATAAATTATTCGTATTTTACGTACCAACACCATTCATCTACGTTTGCGTTTCTTCAGTAAAATTACCTATTTCGCTAATTCAAAAGGAATTACAATACTTAGAAACAACAATTTATTCATTATTGACACCAATGATTGCCGAACAATTACGCAGAAGACCAAATTTCGATATCAAGAGACAGACATCAAGCTCTGAGGCCTTATTTACTTCTCTTCTTGAGAATATGGATCAATCTCATTCATTTGTCTTTCATGACTGCATACCAATGTCAGGCGTCACATCAAAGCGAAATGATTTCAAGAGAATAGTTTACGAGAATAGAAATCCAGCGATTTACGGCATTGTAATTTTCAATCGTGGTGAACTTGTATTGAAAATTGCAAACAAAAATTTCAGTCTTACAACGGAAGATGTATTTATTCTTTCCAACAATACGAATGTCATGGTCGACGTCCTCGATGCTCTTTGGCCAATGTGGTTACCAAGTCATAGCGAAATGCTTCACATTCTGACAGTTGATATGAAGAGTTTCGGTTTCAAGATGATTATCATTACAGATCAGATCGAATCTTCTGCAATTTGCACAAGGATTTCTGATCAATGCCAGAAAACAATGCTCCAAGAAGGTTTGAACACACAGATTGACGGTATTCCACTTTTCCATCCTAAGGAAGTCCTCCATTGGATTGTTGTTATTAGAAAACTTGGCCAATCTTATAATCCTTATATTCCTGATTCTCCTTTGGCAAGAACTATATACAGAGCTTACGCATGGACTCAGAGTATGCTCGAGGAAACAAATGTAAACGGAATTTTCTATTCTGCCAATGAAAAATTAACAATCGCAGGTAAGAATGTTCCTGGAGAGCTTATTATAGTAGCAATGCCTGTTGGCGTTGTTGCTAAAGAGGCTGAAAAGATAATTGGCCAACTTGAAGCTTACATTAAACAAAATAGATCTGTTTTGTTCGATTTGGATCCACTTGTATGGGATGAAAAATAAAATGTTTTATGTTTATTACTATTCTTATAATTATGTTAATGTTTTTTACATAATTTGGTTAAATTCAACAATATTTCAAATAATTTTTTAATTTTTGCACTTAAAAACCATTCAAATCCTGACACCAAACAATTTATATGAAAATATGTCGATTTTTAAACAGTTACATTTATATTAATACAAAAATAAAATTTCATAATAACTTAAGCCTTATTAGAACTGCTAATTTGAATACCCTCTAACTCAACATTTTGATTGCATACAGGACATTTGAATTTTCCTGTTGAATAAAATGATGATAAGAAATTAACAAGTGGAAATGTTTGTGCATGAGAGCAGCCCTTTCCTTTGGCATTGAGATTTTGAGCTGGTGCATTAATCTTTTGCTCAACAGCAAGTTTTTCTGCAATTTCCTTTATTGTAACTAATTTGAAATCGCGGATAGCCATAATAACAGGAACAGGTGTCTTAATACTATCTATGGCAAATAAAAGAGTTCTGGTGGGTCCAATGTATGAAGTTAAATCGAGGGCGCCTGGTTTTGGATCATCAGCTGAAACAATAACTTGGTTACCATTAACTTCCATTACTAAATCAAATGGAACGGGTGGCGCATTAAGCCAAGAAAACTCAAGTAGTATATTAACATCTTCTGGGATTTTGATTTGATGAGCAGATAATGTAGATGTACCTGCAGAAGCAATTAGAGGTCCTAAACGAGGTTGACCATCTATTATTTGATAAAATGGATTTGATGGGGTAATAACAGGACCTTGAATTTTATATTTTTCGATTTTATGCGTTGTTTCAAGTGGATTTGCAAAAGGCTCATGTTGTTGAGCCAAAAGGCGTGATACTTCAGCACTTATTTGAACCAGAAGAGGAGTTGCGCGCAAAGTTTCGATAATTGTTAAAATCAAATGGAGCAATTTTGTTTTGTTTCCATTTGCTGGAAGGTTGTACTTCTGTACAATATATCGGATTTGCTCAATTCTCAATAATTGAATACTACGTTTTAAATTTTCGAATTCTTCGTTAGATAGAACGGCCGGATGATGGGGTATAGCTGCAACAGTAGGTGGTGGAGCAGTAGGAGTTTGCCCTACAACGTGTTCAGAATTTGCCTTCATCAAGAAAATTTGGCGCGCTGTAAATTGTAAACTTCAGAAATCGATAAACTTTAACTTTTTGTCACTTTTGTTGCTATGAGTTTAACTTTTCACACCACTTTGGGGGATGTGAAGGTTGAACTCTTCTGCGAAGAGTGTAGAGCGGCATGTGAAAACTTTTTGATGCTCTGTGCCAGTGGATATTATGATCATTGTCCTATTCATCGTGTTATTCAGAACTATTTAGTTCAAACAGGTGATCCAACATTTACAGGTGATGGAGGAGCAAGTATATATGGAGAAAAAGTTCAAGTAGAGCCGTTTGGAGATTTTTCAGAACCTGGTTATTTAGCTTACGCAGAAACACACGAAGTTGGATCACAATTCTTTATCACAGCAGCCAGTACACCAGAGCTTGCCGGTGAATATACGGCTTTTGGTCATGTTATTTACGGATTAAATAATATTATCGCATTTTCAAGAATGCCCACGTTTGAAGATCACCAACCCATTAGACCAGCAGCAATTAAAAGCATTACAATACATGCAAATCCTCTTGCAGAATAAATTGTTTGTATTTTATCTTAAATTTGTTCTATATCTCATATAACTAAGATTACTCCATTGAGTTTATATCAAAAACTAATATTTCGTTTGAATATAAAATATGAAAAACAATTTTTTTGGAGTTGAATTGTGATATCCTAATAGTATATATCATGAGAGTTAGGACGTAAGTATTTTTTATATTTTGTTCACTTATTTTAATAATTTCTGCCTGAAAATGAAGAATTCTCCAATATTGTCACTTTTCTAAAATGCATCTTTTAGGTTTTTTTGCTTTAATTCTCCCTGCCATTACATCATGGTTTGGATTTGAACTACTTCGATTCATTTCAAAAGGGAAGCTAACTCTAATTGAAATGATTGGAGGTGCATTTCCGCTTGGATTTTCAGTTTGCGCAATTATCGGATTAACAATTAATATTATTTTTGGATGTACTTTTGTTCATTACATCATGCACAATGTTTTCTTTGGAATTTTGGCAGCAGCGCTATGCAAAGTTAATAGAAAAAAGAAAATAAAATTAAATAAAACAAAAAACATTACAAAATTCATTTTAGTTGCAATAATTCCGCTATTTTACTACGTTAGTACTTATATATTCCCAGATAAAGGACATATCAATAAATATTGCGAAGATGAAATGTTTTTAGAAGTTTCTTTGATAGCATCGTTTTCGAAAGGAGAAAATAAATGGCGTGGATTTATAAGAGGAGTTCGAAACCCCTTAATCTCGAATACTTTACTTTGGTCAGAATTTATTCCTCCATTTTATTGCGGACTTTTGAAGAGTGCAGGAATGGCAATTACCAAAACAGTTACGTTCACAACATTCCTTTTCCTCGTATCTTTGTTTTATTTGCAATATTCGCTTACATATCGATTTACAAAGTCAGAATTTGCAGCAATCTTAGCAACGCCTGCTGTTTTATTTGCAGGTGGATTCCATTTCTATGATGCAATTGCTCAATGGCAGAATCAAAGCAAAGGTTTCGATTTTATTAGTAGTTTTGGCGGTCCAGATAATATTACATGGGGACATCCTTTCATGGGTGCATTTCTGGCATCAAGAGTCAATTTACTTTCATCAACTTTAGCTATTTTAGCTTACATTTTCGCTTTACTAAATTTCGAAACTTTCGGAGGTATTCTTGTCGTAATTATACAGATTGTCCGACCACAAAACGGTTTCTTTGCGGCTCTAACGTTTGTTCTTATCAAAATTGAGAAAATACAAGAAAGAGTAGTATTTTTCGCACTTAACGCATTGCTTCTTTTCATACAAGGCCTAAGACCAAAAATTATTACCCCTCTTTGGAATACAGGATATACGAAATTTTCAATTTTCCCACCTTTTGCATTTTTCATAAGCATTTTTGGTGTTTTCAACATTGGAATGCTTTTGTCTCTTGTTGTTCATAATTATTATGAGTTTACGATCTGTTGTTTTCTTATTTTGATCAATTGTTACTTCAATTTCCAGAATTTAGCTAGATACAACTTTGCAACAACAGTTTCTGTAATTTATCCACTTGTGATTTCGATTTCTTATGTTGGGTTTTTGTATTTACCAAAGAAATTTAAGAACATTCAAATGAAAGGCTTTCTTTACGGATTATTATTAGTAATTACAATCGTTGGAAGCTCATCAGCATTATTCGGTATCTATTTTAACTATCAACGGTCAAATTTAATTTATGAAGATGATGAAACAGAACTTGAAGAATGGTTCTTAGCAAACTCATCGAGAACAGACCACATACTTGTTGATCCAACAATTAATTGGTTTTCTGGAGTTTCTCGCGCAGGAAGATCAATTTATTACACAAAGTTATCTAGTTTAACATTTTTGAGCACGAAATTAGATAATAGATTTAGTGAGATAGAAGAATTCCTCAAAACAAAATATCATGTTGGCGATGTAAAGTATATTGTTTATAAAGGTGGAAGTGCGTGGGAAAAATCACTTTCAAACGACTTCCATAAGTATTTCAAGCTCGAATGGCAAAATGATGCCTATAATATTTTAAGTTATTTGAATTAAATAAAAATTTTGTTTGTATTAATTTTAAATTTAGCTTTAAATCGTTGGAATTGTGAAGGTAAAAAGCGTCAATTATATGATTATGATTGATATCAAATGAGCTTTTATTTCGAGACGAATGATTTAATTTTTTGTAAATATAAGCTAATTTCATAAGACAGTCCTTATATACTATCATAATTTGAGCATTAGAGATATCATAATCCGACTAATTTCATAAATTTTTAAAATTTCCTTATTTTAATGGTATTATAATAGCATCGGTAGCGTTAACCATAATTGATTGACTAAAAGATTAATATGTGAAGTTTTGAATAAAAATATCAATATGGATCATTCAATGTGAATTCACATCATTCAAAAATTGTCAGAAATTTTTTATAAAATAAAATCACTTCATTTTTCAATAATGGAACTTCCGCAACTCGGATTCGGTACTAACGATGCAAAAGATCCTGTCAAACTCAACGCAGCGCTTCACTACGCAATAGAAGAATGTGGTGTCAGGCATATTGATTGTGCTTGGGCATATTTTAATCAAAAAGTTGTTGGTGAAACACTCAAAGAAATATTTGCCAAAGGAAAAATAAAGCGTGAAGACCTTTAAGGGTGCACCCGTATGTACGTTTATTTGAGAGGAGGAGGATTACCCTCTCAATTTTGAGGGATTCGTTAGTTTATTTTCTCGATGAATATGCAATAAAATTTGATTTTTACCTTATCAATATACTTCATATAATATACACATGTTCATGTAAAGACTTTTTTCCAAAATCCTCAGGAATTAAGGGATTTTTGAATTTTAAGAATTTTTTTCGAATTTTTTCGAAAAAAAAATATTTTCAGAACAGCCTTAACGGCTAAGATTTAGGAACAATGTTAAGTATCAAAAAGAAAGGAGGTCTGATATAGACAACATATATCGTTGAAGGTTGAAAAAATCTCTAATATTTGAGCCCAAAATTTCAAATTTTAATTTTTTGAAAAAAGAGGCCACCCGTATGTACGTTTATTTGAGAGGAGGAGGATTATATTTTTGAAAGGGTGAAACATTATGAATATGTTAATTATATAATAATATGTATTATTATAAAAAAGAAAAAATAAAGCACGTTAAAATTTTTCTTGCTTGATTTTTTACAAAATCTACTTAGAATTATGCAAAATATGACTAAATAATTATAAATTTCAAGTTAAATTTTAATTTTGATAAATAATTTAAATTTCAAAATATCAAGTTCAGTTCGACTATGTATGTAGTAATTCCTCAATAAAGTGCCAAAACCTTATTAAAATATATGAACATTTTCAACATTTTAATGTTTTTATTTAAAAATTTGATGGAATATGAGCTTCAAACAATTATTATGTAAATAAAAATAATTAAATATATGTATTTATTCGTATTACAACCGTAGTAAGTCGATTCTTCCTTTCTTCTACTGAGTTTTGAATTTGATTTCGAATTGTAAAGAGATTCAAAGGGAAAATACTAGCGGATAAAAACTACCTCAATGAAAGGGTCATAATGGAGTCAAGTTGTATTTTTTGATATTTTTTGCTTTTCGAGCCTAAATAGGTAGCCAAGATAATGCCTAAAAATAAGGTTCTAAATTCTGAAGTTTACATGATCCTCTCGTGTGCACCCTTAAAACAATTTGTAATAAAGAGTTATTAACATTATGAGAGCATGTCAAAGTAATGTTAAATGCATGTTTAATTAAATTGATATAATAAAGATTTATTGATATTATGAGAGCATGTCAAAATAATGATAAGTGCACCCTTAAAACAATTGATATAATAAAGATTATAAATAATATCAAAAGCATTTACGATTATAATAAATAAAATTATAAATTAAACAATAAGACCGGAATAATATCTATCATAGAAACCATTTCTCTTGACAGCATTCATTAACAACTTCAAGATGTTAAATTTCTCCTGTGCCTGATCCACTCTTGCTGACATCATCATTTGAGCCAATTCTGCAACACTTCTATCTTTATCTCTAGCAGCCTTTGCCAATGCCTGGCTTATCTGTGGATCCTGTTGCTGTTTCATGAGTAATCCAAGAGAAATTGCGCATTGGCATCTTATCTCTTGTTTCTCATTTTCATTTGACAACAACTCAACCAACTTAGGGATGCAAGATCTCTCTTTCAGATTGCCCATCAAGAAAGCACAAGCTAATCTGTTTTCAGGGGATTCAGAATCCAAAAGAGGAAGGAAATTACTTCCAAAAGGTGGCAAATTTATCAAAGAAACAGCTCTTTGCATCAATAAACCAATCAACAATGCCGAATATGGTGCGCAATCAATAGCTCTCTTTATACATATAGAATGTATCTTTGTGAAAGAGCTCATGAAATTGTTGGAGATCGCACAACATATTGACAAAAGTCCGGCTTTTACATCTGCGGCATCTGCTGTTTCTTTGAACCAGAAAACCCATTGCTGCTGGAAAGGAGATGTTCCAACACCTATAGAGAGCAACTTCGCAAGAAGTAAACAGGTGGACGCGGACGGTGGATTGTTGTTGTTTATACTGTTCATTTCGACAATTGTTCTAGCGATGTTGGAGCGGGCTGCGGATTCTGCAACATCGGAATGGTTGTCGATGTAATCGATAAGAACACGGACGGATTCTTCCCTGAATTCAGGACGAGTTATGAAAAATGAGAAAATCGGCATAACTCCGACAGTTGGGAAATTATGGAAGCTTTCGATGAAGAGCTTGAAGATCATGCGGGAGGAGACGTCATCTGGCATTGCAAGGGCGCAATCGATTGCTGTATCCCAGAAGAACCATAAATCATGGCTGGATGTAGGCTTGAGAGCGGGTAATGAAACAGGATGAAGGTTGAATGACTGCATAACGCGCTGAGAAAGAACAAAACCTCGTGCTAATGATGTCATAGCTGGATCTTTAGTAAATTGTTCGAATAAACCTTGAGGTTGTGTATCAAATGCAATGGCTTCGAGTAAAGCGAAGAAAAATTGTTTGATGAAGCTTGTATTTTCTACTTTTTGGAATCTTTCCGGAATTTCGAAAACGCAACTGTGTCTTCGAGTGTGCCACCAGAGAGCAGTCTCAAATGGCGATAGGAGACATGAACTGAATAAATCCCACGGTGCGTCTGTAGAAATCGGCATTTGTTCATTTTGACTGCAAGCAAAGAAACCAAGTGTATCTTTATGGGTTGAAAATGCATTTGCGAGAACTGCTGCTGAAGGGCAGTCTACAATAACACAAATAGGTCCTGGAACGTATTGGAAAAGAACTTCTAACTTAACGGGCTTATAGCGAGCTCTATCTTCTGAGAAGAAGAATATAGATCCATCTGGTGATGGTTGATTGCAACCTTGACCGAAGTAATGTAAAATAACTCTTTCTGACGTAGCATTTTGCGAAAGTTTATGCATCATATCAAGCGCATCTTTTACTGGTGGATCAACAACTATATCCGCTGAACATTTAAGAGAATTCATATATAAATTTTGAATTGCATTTTGTGATGATGGAGCAAATACTGAAGGATCGAACGTTAAAAGTGGCCGATTACATATCAATCGAGGTTTTCGACTCAGTCGTCGAATTGTTGGTGTGCGCAATCCATCAAAAAGGCACAAAAAACAAATTGCGCCTTTTGTTTTCACGCATATATTTTGAGTTTGCTGTTGCTGTTTTGTTTCTCTTTGATGAAAAACAATAGGCGGACGCGTAACACGCCTAGTTGGCGGCGCGTCTGCCTGCAAGCACATCATAGGATTCGCCATACAAAATTTCTATGAAATTTTTATATGATAATCTAAAAATCTAGGCAAAAATAAAATTTGTAAAGATGTTATTAATATATGTTTAATATCGTCGTTTATCATTCAATGAAATTGAATTTTGGATGGTCGGTTCCCTTCAAAAAAATGATAGGGATTGTTAACAGCATATACATCGAGTCCTCGAGTGAGATAAAATCAAATTTTTTATCACGCTCTCTCAATTTTTATTTACACAGCAGGTTTGCTGAATAAATATCTGTATTCGTGAAAGATAAATTCTAATAGTAGAATTACTTTCCAGTGGAGAACGAAAGGCATTCATTAGTCGTTCACAAATTTACTAATTATTTTTTTAGCTTTCCTATTGTCGAAATAATCTATGAATTTGGCAAGAACAGATATGATAAAGATTCATGTATTGTCCAAATATACTGGAATTTTGTAGTAATACATTGCTATCATGTAAATAATATAGAATTCAAAATATTGTTTTTCAGTTATATCTTAATTTCTTGATTAAATGACTTAAGGTACAAAATATAAAAAGGTTTTGGAATGAACTAGACTATTAATAAAATTTATATAAATTTTTTTCTCGCATGCATAGTATTACTTTTAGAAAGAACAGATCTCAATCTATTTGACAGAAATATTTTTATTTAGATATGATAGAAACAAGAAAAACAATGAAGAATAGATTATTTTTTCGGTTTTAGTTAACTTCGATTTCTTCTTCTATTTCTTCTGGATATTCAAGTTTTAGCTCTGCAAAACATAAACCAGTAGACAAATGATGATTTGTTGTATAAATTGAACTTGCATTCTCTGTAATTGTAACATTCATTTGTACTAGCAACCGGAATGTCGAAATAACATCCTTTAACTTGAATTCGATAAGGATGATATACTAAGAAATAAACAATATAACAACGAACATTATTCAAAAATGACTGAGGAAGAAAAGAAGAAAACCAAATTAACTCCTCAACAAATAATGGAAGCAAAAGATGCATTCAATATCTTCGATCGTAACTCTCATGTTAAAGTTAGCGAAAATGAACTTGTTACAGTCATGAGATCTCTCAGACAAAATCTATCACAGAAAGAAGTTAAAGAATTAATCTCAACACTAGATTTAGACAATTTGCAGACGTATGTGCGCTCAACTCAATGAAGTAAAAACAGAAGATAATATTGTTGATACTTTTAGAGTTTTTGATAAAGATAATCATATATCAATTGACATCTGATTATAATATGAAGAAATCATTATGCAATGTAGCAATCTTTTTTGTCTTCTGTTGCTTTCTTTTCTTCCGAGCCTTTTGAGTATGTCACATGGAAACCTTCTTTAATTCTGGCATCTTTATCAAATATGTCGAAAGCTTTGGCGAAGACAGCTTTAACTTCATTAAGATCGTATGCCGAGCATTCGATGTATTCAGCACCAATTTTAGCTGCAACATTTTTGCCGTCTTTTGTACTTATTGGTTTCGCTTGAGGATCGGTATTTTTTTCGAAATGATCTCGAAGATCTTTCATGCAACCGACAAGAAGTACTGGAGTATTTGGCAAATACTGTCTGAATTCCTTGATCCATAATTTTTCAGCATTCTTAAGGGAAACAGGATTTACCAGAGAGAAACATAAGATACCAACATTTGTTTCTGGATAACCCAATGGTCGAAGTTCTGCATAATCGTTTTGATCTGAAAGCCAAATCTGCATATTTACATTGAAACTGTTATATTGTATTTCCCGACTCCAATTGTCTACAATGGATGGAATATACTCTCCAGGATCTAAGGATTTGTTTGACTGAAAACAAACATCGAGTGTTCTTCTACCAGTATCGTCATCACCAAAAATTAAAGCTTTGCAATTGAAAGAGAGTTTAGAGGAAAAAGTTTTGAAAAAGCTTCATTCAAAATTTCCTCAATACCACTATAATTAATAGCTGAAGTATAACAGAGTTTTGCAACAATTTTCTTTGTAGCATTTTTGATTTCTTCTGATTGAATTTCATTTGCTTTGTCACAATTATCTTTCTTGCAACCAACAAGAAAGAGTTCAGCATGTGGACAATGTTTTTGGAAAACTGGATACCATTTTTTAACAGCTTGTTCAAGAGATTTATAATCGACCATTGAGAAGCAAAGAAGGCCAATATCGGTCTGTGAACAGTAGGTTTGAAGTTTGCTTTCGTCATTTTCTAAACCTGATGTGCACCAAATGTTGAGATTTATCAAAAAATCACCCTTTTTATATTCGCAAGAAAATGGATCAAAAGAGGATTGTGGTTCACATTCAGAAGGATTTACTGGTTTTTTGGTTTTCATAGATTGGCACAGCCAAGACTTCCCAACTTCAGGTTCTCCAAAAACCAATACCTTAGAATAGAAAGGTGACGTCATCTAAATGACACTTTTTATAATTGAATATAAAAAGTAAAAATTTTTTGACTAATTTTTTAAACTTCAATTTCAAGTGTAGACTGAAATATGGATAAGATTTCCAATTTTTTACAAAATTTCAAGAATTATCCCTTTTTCCATTTTGACAATTCCCATATCAATTATTGATCTAATATACCTTTACCTCTGGCATTTTTCCCAGAAGGGAAGCTTATTAATAATATTATTAAGTATGAATGTGCGGAAAAGGCAACAATTTGATTCATTCAAATTTTTAGAATTAAACAATCGATTTTCTTAAAGCGCATATAAAACCGTTTATGTTATGAGTAATAAATTATAACAAATTTAATCATAAAGATCTTATTTTGAATTCAAATTTGTTCTGATTAGTTAGTGTAAAGAACTCGACAAATTTTATAGAGTGTTACTTTTTGCTCCCTCGACGATTAATATCCTCTCTCAAAAAACAATCATTATATAAACAATTTATATTTACTTATAATGGTGCATCGTCAAATAATTTACAATTTTTTTAGATTTTTTTTTCAAAACCTGATTCAATTAAACTGTAGAATTAAGAAATACAATCTCATTAAAAATAAGTACCAATATGATAATAATCGCAAATGGACAAAGACTTAATTCATTTTAATTAATTTTATTTTTCAGAGATAATGTCAAGTTTAGTAATATAAATCGTAACTCTTTATTAAACTATTACGCATTACACATTGTTACCTATTTTTAAATTTTCTTAGTTATTTAATATGAGAAAAAGAAAATTAATTAATTAATTTGATTTACTTTATTGATGTATTAATTGTTCTTTATATAATTAATGAAATACTATCCAGATATTCATTACATCTATCAGTGAGCGAATCTGTAGATTTAGTATATTTGTGGGTGAATGGATCAGATCCTGAGTGGATCAAGAAATATCAACTTGCAAAGAAAACTACAGGCGTTAATTACTCCGACACTGACTATTTCCGACGCTATGTTGAAAAAAACGAACTTTTATTATCTCTTCGAACTGTTTATCAATTCATGCTTTGGATCAATAAGATTTATATAGTTACAAATGACCAGTATCCATTTTGGCTCAATCTATCTCATCCAAAGATTAGCATTATTTCACATAGTCAACTCTACGGAGAAGGAAAAACGTCATTCAGCAGCAATTCGATACAATTCACATTGAATAAGATTCCAAATCTTGCAAACAAATTCATACTTGCGGATGATGACTGTTTCTGGACAAAACCTATCGAAAAATCTTTCTACTTTACAAAAAACAAATTAAAGTTCAGAATATTAGATTTTAAAGGGGATGTATACGATACATATGGTCCTGATGAAACTTGCACAGATGATAATGATAATTTATTGATATATCACAGATCTATCATAAAAGCATTGAACCTAGTCAAAAGCAAACGAAAATTAGCTAAAAATCCGAAATTTGGCCATTCCCATGTTCCAATACCTTTGACAAAAGAAATTTTTGAAGAAGTAATCCGAGAGTACAACGTATCTCATCTGAAAGATATCCAATTTAGGCAATGTGGAATGGTTCAATTTCAATCACTTTTCCTTTACCATGCATATGCTACAGGAAGATTAGAAGACGCGCATTTTGATTACTTTGCGTCTTTTAGAGGGGAGTGTTCAGAGCAAGTGATTTCCATTATTAAACGTAAGGCAAGGGATGCATCATACTGCTTAAACAATTGTGAGGTTCAATATTTTCAACAATTAATTGATTTTTATCCAGTATGTGAATACGAACTTAAATTTTAGAAAGATTTTGGAAGATATATTCTAAAATTCCAATTCAGAATTACGTATCATAATACAACATGATGCAATCAGATTCATGATATAGTTCAACTTCAAATTATCTTATTAGATTATTATCTATATTCTACTATTTTGGCAAAATACAATTTAATAATAAGAATAAACTATTTCTATACATTCTAAATGCATTAATGGATCAATTCGAATTGTGTTATGTGACATGCATATAGATAAGAAAGCATACATTATGACAATAAACACATTTAATTTGGCAATTATTGTTTAAATGTATATATATATATTTGAAATAAATTCAATTAAAGGTGCACTTACCTTGATTTGACATACCTCAATTTTTTTGACCCCGACAACATTCGAAGATATGATACAACATTATGCATTGAAATTCCTTATATGCATATAATATTAAATTGGAAAATGAAAATATTGTTTATTAATTGAGAATATGGCCTCACTAATGCACCCTTAAGGATGAGTTCTCATTATGAAAATGAGGTTATATCCGGCTTTATAGAACATAGTTGTGATATATGGTAAAGTTTAATATGAAAATCTGATAATAATGTATATGTTTTCCCTCTTCTTTTTGGAATATTTTCTCAGATATCATATATAATTTCATTGCTATTTCATAAAAGTTGGACGAAAAGATAGTTATATTGATGTGTTTTAAAATGCCAAAGACAAATTGATGTATTTTCTAACTTTGAATGGTGAATTACCCCTAAACAAAAAAATTTCCAACGAACATTATTCAAAAATGACTGAGGAAGAAAAGAAGAAAACCAAATTAACTCCTCAACAAATAATGGAAGCAAAAGACGCATTCGATTTCTTCGATCGTAACTCTCATGGTAAAGTTAGCGAAAATGAACTTGTTACAGTCATGAGATCTCTCCGACAAAATTCATCACAGAAATTTTGATTTAAAATCACGAATATCTTGTGAACACATTACAGTATATATATATAGTAATATTATCATTTATGAATATTCATACCTTTGATTTCAACGAAAATTCAAATTGAGAGTTGTTCACATTGAAAAAATCGAATAATTCAGAAAAATCGCCGCTGTGTAAATTTTTTGACACCTCTCTCATATTAAAGCAATCACATCATTTCTTGATAATGAGTAACAAGAGACAAGCAGCACATGGTAAGCAGAACGCCCATCAGAACCAGAAGGGCAAGCAAGCTGCACAAGCCGCAGCACCAGCCGCCGCTGCCACAGAGCAGAAGCCGGAAGCTCCAAAGGCTAACTAAACTAAATTAAACTATTACACACAATTGTAAATAAACAACTGATTAATATTCTTTAAATTCTTTCTTTTGTTTTGATAATAGTTTGCGGAATTACTTTTATTGATTAATAGCATTGGTTAATATTAAATTCAGTGTTTTCTTCAAAGATTTGATATCAAAAACAAAAAATAAATAAAATAACTAACAACTTTAAATACAAACAAATCTAATATGTGGCGTTACTGGTTTTCTGGTCTAATATCCATAGATTTCATGAATTTTTGGATATTAAAACCACAATCTTTCTTCAAGTCGGGCATTGTCTTTTTAGTGAACTCTGCCATATCTTTCAGAGGTATCTCAGTTCTTGAACCAAATCTCGGAGGCTTCAAAAGCTTTCCGTTATAAATAAATCTAACAATGTGTTCTCCATCTTGTTTCTTCCATAATTCCATGAGAACATAAGAACCATATGCTGGACCAACCTCTATGTCCTCATTTAAGTATGCCAAGAGGCCGAAAATGTTTCCATTATGGCCACTCCAATGAAATAGCCTTATAGAAGACATTCCATCAGCTCTCTTGATGAACTGGTTCGTAATCTCTGCAAATGGGAACGAAAATATTAAAGAATAAACTTTTTCGCTTGTAAAAATGTAAATTTGTCTTTTTGCCTTTGCAATTGCGTTTTCATCGAGGGCGTCTATATCAACTTCGGCTGGTAATGGTCTTCCATTGCATCTTGTAGCCATAACTATATCAGGTACAACTTTACTTTTGATATTAAAAATTTTTGCTGCATTTTTAACAGCTGTTTCGTTTTGAGGGAACAAACTATTAACAGCAGGGTCTTCTTTCATGGCATCTATATTCTTTTTAAGGTTTGGACAAACAGCCGAAGCTCTTCGAAATGGATCTAATGATTTATCAGCAACATGAAGAGTAATTTCGCTATGATCAGGATACAGTCCTTGTGCTAAGGCCATTGCCGAATGTATTGTTCTATGAGTTCCTGTAGATCTGATAAAATAAGTATTATTATCGTATCTCTCTGGTAAAAACTTCAAATCTCTGATATAAACATTTCTGATATATCTACCGAGGTTCTTTAGTGCAGAATGACCAACTTCAGTGAGTTGTCCGAAGTGACATTCGCCACCAAAAATTGATTTTCCGTATGCAACATGTACTTTCAAAGGAGACTGCTCTGGAATCGAATAATATCTATATTCAGTGTTTTCGCATTTCCAAATTGTTCCGTTCTGGTTGTAGCCGTGGAGTGGAGTTCTTGCACCGTGTCTTGTTAGGATTTGAATCTGCAACAAGTCGGCATTTGGGATAGGAGAGAATTTCCACTTACTTGGTTCGCACCAAGTAGCGTTAAAACAGTGAATAAAAGATATGAAAAGAGCTATCATGAAAATTTTGTCAGAAAATATTGTCAATTAGTCACTTTTTGATCTTTTGGATAAATTTTGTCTAATAATATAGCCTTTAATCAATAAAACTATAAAATGTAATGAAAAACAAATTTACTGTATCAAGTAAAACACACTATATCATTGAATGATCAAATTTGAAAAACATTTTAGATGGATTTCAATATCAATGACATAAAATGCTTTTAATCATTATATAAAAGATATACTCGAAATAAATAGTGCTTAACAAATCAAATTTCAGAAAATATTTTTTTAAATCTTTGAAAAAATCTCAATTTCTGGTTTGAAATCACTGGCTGGATTAATCAGTTCATGAATATTAACACGAATGAATAACAAATAATAAAAAACAATAACGAAAAAATTTCTATCACTTTTTTTCTTGTTTATAAATGAATAAATACACAACAATTAAGGTACTTGGCGAGGGCGGTTATGGAAAAGCTCTTCTCGTCGAGGCGAAGAGCGACAAGCAGAAGTATGTTGTTAAAGAAGTTCGCATGGCAAACTTGAAACCACAAGAAAAACTTGATGCGAAGAAGGAAGTCGATGTACTTCATGCTTTGAACCATCCAAACATCGTCAAATATGTTGAGTCTTTCCAAGAGAATGGAAGATTATACATCGTAATGGAATACGCTGATGGAGGCGATTTATCACAATTAATCGAAAGACGAGGAAGAAAATTACTCAGTGAAAGCGATGTTATGCACTACTTCATTCAAATAGCACTTGCACTCAAATACATGCATGATCGAAAAATTTTACACAGAGATTTGAAAGGACAGAACGTATTTTTATGCAAGAACGGAAAAGTCAAGCTTGGCGACTTCGGTATTGCCAAGGTTCTCGATAGTACTGCCCAATTATGCAAAACACAGATTGGTACTCCATATTATTTATCACCGGAGATTTGCGAAGGCAGGAGGTACAATTCGAAGACAGATATTTGGTCTCTTGGCTGCATTCTTTACGAGTTATGCACACTCCACCATCCATTCGATGCTTCAAACATGAATGCATTACTTGCCTGCATTATTCGTGGCAGATACTCTCCGATATCAAGCCAATACAGCTCAGATTTACGTAATCTTGTTAGCCGCATGCTTACAAAGGACACAAAACCACGTCCTTCCATAAATCAAATTATTATGTTACCATTTATCAAGAACCATCTCGAAGAATACCTCGACGATACACTCCTCAGGTACGAACTAGGCCATACCATCATCCATGGCCGCAAACCTCTCAAGGCTCCCACAATTATTCTTAATAAGGACGAAAAGAACAACAACGACTTAGCTCCCATACCAGAAGGTACTCCAGAGAAGAAGCAGCATCCACCTGCACAATCTCCACAGCAGCCGCAACAACAAAGACCTTTACTTCCATTCGGACAACCGCAAAAACCGCAACGTATCGATTACAGGCGTGAACACGGTCCGATTGTTTTACCACCACGCAAGAGCGATGCCGACAAAGCGAAGGAAGAAGCAGAGAGGAAAGCCAAAGAAGAAGCCGAGCAGAGAGCGAAAGAAGAGCAAGAAAGGAAGAAAGCAGCTTTAGAAGCAGAATTAGAACGTCGTAGGAAGCAAGAAGAAGAGGAGAAGAAGCGTGAATACGAAGCCAAGAAGCAGAAGATGCTTGAATACGAAGAAAGAAGAGCACAAAGGAAACGAGAAGCAGAAGAATTCATCAGAAAGAAACGCGAACAAGAAGAGAAAAGAAAACAAATGGATGAAGCTGCGAGAAAGAAACACAGAGATGAAATGATCGCACAAATGAACAGAAACAAAGAAGCAGAAGATGAAAGACGCCGCAAATTCAAAGAAGACATTGAAAGAAAGAAGAGAATTCAATTGAGAAGAGACCAAAAACCACAAATTGCTGCTTCAGATCCAACATTAGATCCATCATTCCCTCAGCAGAACCAGCCTGACCAGAAGAAGGAAGTCTTGGGATCCTTCTACCAGGCAAACAAAGAAAAACTTCCTGCTTGGGTAAACAAAAAAGAAAACGTGGCAAAACCGTCAAGACCACCACGTACAAAAACTCCTCTTGCAGAAAGACCTCCTTTCGATCTCGGCGATCCAACACCATCCATCCTCGAAGGCAAGCCTGAAGAAGAAGAGCCAGTCAAGAACTCTGTCGAGATCACAGCGGAAGAGCGCAGAAAGATCTGGAAAGAGAATTTGGCCGCTAAGAAACATAACGTTGCTGCTGCAAATGATGTCGTTGTTGGTGTCGAACCCGATGCTCCTTTGGATATCGAAGTAACACCAAGTATTGCCAAGTCTGATATCTCTGCTGAAGAAAGAAGAAGAATCTACAACGAGAACAGAAAAGGATACAAAGAAAACAGAAATAACCACTTGAGAAATGAACTCGACATGAAAATGGACAACATGTCAGAACCGCCGCCAAAAATTGAGGATGACGATGAAAGTGATAGTTTCGGATTTTCTGATAATGGTGATGACTTCAATGATGAAGAGGACAATGGAGAGGCTCTCGAAGACTCTCTTAACCTGGCTTGCTCTTTGAGAGACGCTTTAACTGTTGTCGAAGGAACAGATGATTCATTCGGTGATTCCGATGATAACGATGATGACGATAAACAAAATCAATCTTTGACAATTGATGAAGTCAATCAAAAATTGGCTTCCCTCGCATCATTCGATGATATTGAGAAGTACAGAAGAATGATGGCACAGGATGGAGCTAATGTTAGAGATATCCCTCCATGCATCTATATTTTGTTGCAGAAATTAGCTTGCTTAGAAGCAAATAATTAATAAGATTTTAATTTCTTCTTTGATTTGTAAAGTATTCAAAATTTTATTTGCTCAAATTATTTTTATACATTTTTTTTTCTCCTTTAAAAATCAAAACTAATTAACAATAGTTAAGTGTTTACTTACAATTGTGTGTAATAGTTTGGTTTAGTTTAGTTAGTCTTTGGAGCTTCTGGTTTCTGGTCTGTTGCAGCGGCGGCTGGGGCTGCGGCTTGTGCAGCTTGCTTGCCCTTCTGGTTCTGATGGGCGTTCTGCTTACCATGTGCTGCTTGTCTCTTGTTACTCATTATCAAGAAATGATGTGATTACTTTAATATGAGAGAGATGTCAAAAAATTTACACAGCGGCGATTTTTCTGAATTATTCGATTTTTTCAATGTGAACAACTCTCAATTTGAATTTTCGTTGAAATCAAAGGTACGGATATTCGTAAATGTTAATATCACAGCATTATGTAATTTGTTCACAAGATATTCGTGATTTTAAATCAAAATTATAATATCTGTTATCACAATACCATCTATTTTCATATTCATATGAAATTTATATTAGCAAATTTTTGATAAGTATTTTAAAAATTTTTATAGCGTTTATTTATTAAGTAATCAGATCATTTCTTGATAATGAGTAACAAGAGACAAGCAGCACATGGTAAGCAGAACGCCCATCAGAACCAGAAGGGCAAGCAAGCTGCTCAAGCCGCAGCCCCAGCCGCAGCTGCAACAGACCAGAAGCCAGAAGCTCCAAAGGCTAACTAAACTAAATTAAAATATTACACACAATTGTAAGTAAACAAATGATTAATATTCTATAAATTATTACTTTTTTACTCATGAGTAGTAGGATAGGATGGGCTTTGTGACTTTTTTTGTTACATCTATATATAGACGATGCATTAAAATATATTTATTTATAAATCATTAAAAAATTAACATTAATTTTAAAATAATTATTTTCATGAATAAAAGATTCACTACCATAATGAAATAAAAAATAAAAATTTTTTTAAAAAATAAACTTTAAAAAGAATTTGATGAGTTCAACATTGAACTTTAAGAAATTAATGATTATTTGAATTTATGATATCAATTATTTGATTCATTCTTTCTTCAATCTCTTCTATTCTTTTTGTTAAATCATCAATTTTCATTAATGAGGTGATTCTTGATTGAGGAATAGATTTCAAACTAACCACTCCTTTTATTTTTGAAATTTTGAATCCATCAACTTTAAACATTTTATTCAATTTACATGTTGTCAATTCTTCAAATAATTTTTTATTATTAGCATAATAGTCATTAAATTCTTCAACAGATGAAAAAATTTTTATTTCAGTAATTGGTTTAACAACGTTTATTTTTTGTTGAACATTTTCACTTTCATTTATTTCTTCCTTCTCTGTTTCATTTATTTTTAAAATTGGTTTCATTTATCATTAAATAAAAATAAGAATATAAGTGATGAAATATATTTTTTAATTAATATTAAATCAGAAATGGCGGCAGGATTCTTTAAAAAATTATGGGATGGAATTAAGAAAGCTGCGGGTTGGGTTCATAAAAATATTATTAAACCTGTTGCAAACTTTTTGGCACCAGTAGCGAAAACGGCAGGAACTATCATAGGTGGAGTATTAGGTACTAAAGCAGGTAATCCAGCGATGGGAGCACAAGCAGGTAACGCAATTGGTGGAATTGCTGAAGGAATACTTAATAAAATAGGGGGTAGATAGTGGAAAAATAAATTATTTTTATCTTAGTATCGGTTGAAGTCTTTGATAAACTTTTTCTCCTTTATTTAATATTTCTCTTATTGGGGCAGCTTTTGGTGTTATTGATTCAGCAACGTCACTAATTGCTTCTTTATTCTTAAATATCCAATTTGCTCCTTTCTTCATTGTTTCCCAAACTTTATGCGCTCCTCTTTTTACTTTATCCCACAGTTTCTTAAAGAATCCTGCCGCCATAGTTGATTATTTCATTAAAATTAAAAATTCATTTTCATCTTTTAATTTTGATTTTTTATTTATTAATAAATGACGACTAACTATTTGGTGCCAAACACTAAACCGATTAATGGAAATGTGTTTCATTCATTCGAAAAGATAAATGAAATATTCGCAAAGAATGACGGTAGAAGATATTATAGAGAACTTGAAAGTTCATGCTATGACTCTGATGCTCCATATTTTGATGATAAACAAACTCATTTAAGAATTACAAATACGGCTCATGATGTGAACCAATTAGGTGACACATATATTAAACGCAAAGTTAAAGCAACTCTAGTTTCAAATAAAGCTTTCACATGTGATGCCGCTTTTAAATGCATGCGTTTATTCGTTGGTTACAAATCATCAAATCAAAGCTTTAAACAATTAGAAGTAGAAACCGAAAGAGGTGATGCCGGTTATCTTCAATGGATTGCGCCCGTGAATCTTTCGCATTTGCAACATATAAACCAAAATCAGAAAGGAAAGTTAAAAAGTTTGTTCATTCGTTATATAATAATGTTCAAAAATATGATAACTCAGTATGTGGTAAATATATTGACCCTTCAGAAGTTTTCAAGAAAGCAAATGAAGAAGTTGATGTCACTTTTGATATGATTATTCCGGTAAATGATTTGTTAGCATTTCAGGCGTTCGATGATTATCCTAAATCATTTGGTGAAATCATTCTTAAATATTATGTTTTCAGGGATACTTTAGTATTTTGTCAGGTTGACCCGTTAAGAGTTGCTGATTTACAAAATTACGTTTATGAAAAGATAACTGATGAAAATTATGAAAAGATTATGAATCATGTTTATAAATATGATCGCAAATTCCAACAAATCGGACTTCCTGCCAAATTAATTACAAGCTTAGCCGCTACATCTGCTGACGCAACAGTTGATGACGTTATTATTTCATGCACAAAGATGGAAGTTTTAGAGGATAAATGCATTACACCAGGATACGGTTTAATTGAAGAATCAGTTAAAGCAATACCACGTTTATTCAGTAAGGAAGATCCATTCATGATTCCAGCTCAACATATTGACGTTCGTTCACTAAATGGAGGTTGCATCACTCCTGAAGGTATTAGCTCAGATTTCTCATACGCTCTTCATAATGTTACAGATGTTGTGTTAACATTTCCGAAGAATGCAATGCAAAGAACGGTTTTAGAAAATCCAATGCTTCGAGGTCTTCAGGTCACTATAGATTCCAGAAACTTCCCCGATCAAGCGATGACCACAGTGGGTGACATATTCTTTACACGTATGCTTCAAGCTTCTGATTTAGATGGAGTGAATGAATGCACAGAAGAATACGAGGACTCATTAACTAGACCACTGAATGATGATGATGGCACGCCATTAGCTAGAACATGGAAAGACCAAACTTCATTCTTATGCACTATTCCAGTTCAACGTGATGGAGCGGGTATATTCTTTGATGGATTAGAAACTTTCAACTCACAAGTTACAGTACAAGTGAAAGCTTATCCAATCATTCAGGGTGAAAATGACACTTACTGTTCAAAGGTGACAAATCCTCCTCAGGTTTGGTTTACTAGGACTACATATTGGACATGGACACCGGATGAAGGTTTGAAATATCATCCAACAGGTACACCACCACAGTATAGAAGTTCATATGATGAAATATTGATGAATAGAAATGTTTAAAATTATAAATTTATTTTTGATTAAATGGATTTAAATTCATCCACCCCTTATGAAGAATTAGCGGGAGTATATAATACATACGTAGATGATATGATTAATGAAGCATTGAGTGATAATAGAAATGCTCTATCTAAGGAAAAATTAATGAAAATTCCATATTCTGAATGTTACTTAAATTCAATCACTGCAGCAATTGGTAAACAAATAAAGGTAAAACATTAACGATATTAAAACAAATTATCATTATTGCTAACACTTCCCCCATTCACATGTGTTAATTTATATCAACCGTTCAGGTTCACCTTCAGATGATACATTTGAATCTTTAAAGCATTTAATCAAAATTCCAATTATTTATTTATCACAAGAAGAAGCAGAAGATTATTTAAAAAACTTTTTAATGTATAAAGAATTATATAATACAATCAAGAAGCAAGGATTAGAGGATAAAATTATTGATAAACAACGGGATGAATTATTTGAAACACTTTCTATTTCAAATTTTGATAGAGAATTTTTGCATTCACTCATTTTTCTAGATGATGCAGTGAAATCAAAACTAATAACAAATGAGAAATCATATTTTAATCAGTTATTAACTCAATGTCGACACATTCAGTGTTCATTCTTCATGGCTGTTCAATACTTCAAAGCATTAAGCACAAACATTAAATCAAATCTATCAACACTTTTCATTTTCAGTGGGTTTAGTCGTCAACAGTTGAACGTTATGCTTTATCAAGTGAATTTACCAATGAGCATTAATGAACTTTACACACAATATCAGCAATTAGGTGAACATGGAAAAATAATAGTTGATTTAAATAAAGGAGTGTTAAATTTGATTAACTTTTTATAATTAATTTTTATTTTTTATTTATAATTAAACATGACAGAAATAGCAAATCTTCTACAGGTTCCATTAAAACAAGGAACAAACAAAAAGGGTGCATATAATAGAACTATGAAAGTTCCTGATGGAATGAAAGAATTAGTTCATATTGTTGCTGGTCTTCAAAAAGATGTTAAACAAATGAGAAACGTTTTAACATTACCAGAAGCTCAAGCATATGCCAAACGTCATGGTCCAAATTGGGAAGCACACGAAGCAGACATTACGGGTCCAAATGGAAAACCTGATGGTATAAATGAAGTTTTCGTTACTGATGGTCAAGGTAATATTAAAGTCATAAATGGTTATAAATTAACTATATCTGATTATCCTAAACGTAAAGCATATAATGAACGTTATCCTATGCAATTTGATGAAAATGGAAAAGCTGTTAAACAATACATTGGAGAAGGTGAAAATGGTCCAATTAATTCATACCGTCATAATCCATATTCTTATTTCAATGAAGAATTAAATGCTATTGAAGAGGGACCGGATGGATTACCACGATATTCTAACCAGTTTGATGGTCAATATGCAAATATTAGACCTGAAATTTCAGCTAAGAAATTCTTTAAAGTTGCTTTATTCGATCCAGTTTTCGCAAATGTTAAAGATGAACTTAAACAGCAATTCCAACCAATTATAGTAGCAAGAATTGCATCAGGTGCTTTATCTCAAGCATTCAAAGATTTAATTAAGAAACCATTATATCAGCAACGAGGTTTAACTTATGATTTAGTTAAGGAATCAGATAAAAGAAAATTTGAGAAATCAATGATTATAAGAATGCAATTAATGAATATATTAAGTCTATTAATTTCGATGAAAATGAAAATCAACTTCATGAACAAATACAGGGAATAATAGATTCAAAAGTTCCAGCAAAATAAAAGTTTAAATATATTTTTTTATTCGATTATAAATGAGAAGACGTTTCACTAGTCAAAAGAACACTAACGCAAAAGCAGAGATTACGGTTGGTTATAACGTAAATGATGATAAATCACGAATTATTCAAAATGTTAAAGTTAATGTTAGCCCTGAATTAACAAGGTCAGCAACTCAACCAAATTTATTAACTCGTGACTTACCGAAAAAGGAGGAGAATGAAGAAAACCATGAGATGGAGACCCAATCATTTTATCTGAACCCGGTAAAGAACCGTTGAAATTCCCACTTATCCAACATACCCCCCGCCTCTTTCATCAAACATCGAGAACCCATATAAAATAGACATTAATTCAGAATTAATGAAAATTTACCGTGATATAATAATTAATAATTATGATTCAATAATAAATTTAATTGATCAATCCGGTTTAATTATTTTACCTTATGAATCATTAATTCACATTATCGCCATTCTTTGTGATGTTCAAGATTCAGACGTTAAGATTCAATTTTTCATAGATGATGAGGTTTCATGCTGCGGAACAGTTGCAAAAATAAATCCTATAAAGGATATTAGCACAATTAAGATATCAAAGAACGGAACAACAACTGAACTTCATTTAACATATAATGATATTTATAATAAAATAGTTGATGAATATAAAATATCACTTGAAAAATTCTTTGTTAAGGCTATTTAATATTCAAGCATTAACATTATCGAATAATAATCCTTTGAATCATAATCAATAATAATTGACCTTTCACCAGTTTCTATCGTTTGTTTTATTTCTTTTTGTTCCCCACTATCCGGATCGGTCATTGTAATTGTTTTTGTTATAGTATCAGCTTTATCTTTAACTTCAATCTTTTTTCCATCGGGATATTTAAACCAAAATTCCAAAAATTCGATATTGTCAATCTGTTCATATTTTAATCTATCAATTACATTTTTAATACCATCTGAAAATCTTATGAAATGGTCATTATATGGGTTTGATTGAACTAAATTTGAATGAAGTGAAATATAACCTGTTGATGAATATGACATTGACTCATATTTTCTGAAAACACTAAAATTTATAACATGAATGAATTTCTTATTCGTTGAATTTATGAATTCTTGAGGTAATCTTATTCTAGTTTTATTTATCACTGGAAAATAACGCTTTACCATATTTTTAATCGTAATAAAAATGTCAATTATCAATATTATTTCGAATAATAACTGTGAATTAAATTTAACAGTTAGCGGAATTTATAATGTTACTCTCGTTTCTGTGAGTGGTAAATTTAATCCCATTCTTTTAGACCCTTCAGATTATATATCATTTATTAAAGATGACCTTGAAAAAACGTATGATATGTATATAAATAATGTGATAACGAAATGGGATATTAACATGATTTTAAGTTATTTAAATGAATCATTTATCGTATGGTATGAAGAAAATTTTAAATCAAAACCTGATAAACTTTTTGAACTTGATGAAATAAATAACCTTATTAAATTCCCGCTGAAAATTAAATTTTGTACTCCTCATTTTCGTTCATTGTTGGGGATATTAAATTTTGAAAAAGATGTTGGGGATGTTTTGTATTCTGACACTGGTTCCAATTTCATTTTAATCAAATGTGATAAAGTTAATACCCCAATGAGATTTTCACATCAAACATTAGACCCTAACTCTTACCCATCAATACAAAACATTTTATCCATCAACTTAAACACATTTTCTTTATCATATCCATTTCAATTATCTGGGAATTCATTTATTCTTCATTCAAAAGATTTATCAAATATTAAATTTAGAATAACTGACCTATTTGATTGTGATTTAGAATTCATGAATGAAATATTATGGCAATTTCAAATAGAAAAAATAGCTGATGAGATAACGGATTAAATATTTATTTTTAAATCATAATAAATGATTAAACAACAGCAACCACAACAACTTAAGGCACAAAACACCCAGGTCCTTCAGACCATTACATACGCCATATATGCATATAATTCAAAGACGGCAGAACAAACGCAAATGTTGAAATATGGAGATTTGGAGATAGTATTGAAAAATGACCGTTTCGAATTCGTTTGCAAAGGTGGTGCAGTGATATCAAATATAAAAGAAATTTTATTTATGAATTCAAAAATTAAAGGAATAACGGATGATATAACATCAATTCCACCAGAAGAACAGAGATATTACGCATTAAATGCATTTCCTAAAGTTTTGAAGATTGGAAGATTTAATTTAAATGAGGAATTCATAGAAGGTTTCCTAAATGACATAATGAAGAAGGCAGATAAGGAATATGTGGATGAAAAAGATAATGAAATTAAAGAAAGGGTTGAATGGTATCATGAATGGACATCAAAGATTTTAAAAACTAAAGCCGATACAGGATGGGTTTCAGGATGTTTAGACCTTAAAGCGGATAAAACATATGTTAACGATGAGTTAAATAAGAAGGTAGATAAGGAATATGTGGATGAAATATACCAAAGTTTGATAGGAACAACGAAAAATATTGAAACTATTGTTGGGGATGTTTCTGTCTATGAAGAAAACAAATATTTTAGATGAGAGTTTGTACACTCCTTAAAAAATGGTACACGGTGTAAACTCATTCCGAAAAATAACAATGAAATGTATGTAGGCTATATAAAGAATAATGGTACACAAGTTAAAGTTCCATTAGACAACAACTGCTACTTAAACTTATATGGAGACGAACAAAAGAAATATTTAAGAGTTTATGAAATGGCAGGTATGACGTTGGCTGACCCAGCTCCAGCACCATATTATTATGACTATGGAGATGACGACAGAACACCACATGTAGATGAACAAAAGTTAACATTATATTTAGATTATTATAGATATAAAAGATATAATGCAATAGAAAAAACGAGAATAGTATATTATTATACAGATGACAGAAATAAATATTATAGTCAAGATTTTACCTACCCTGAAAACATAAGATTATATTATAAAAAATATTCTGACACAAACCAGAAGAAACCTGAAATAGTTGCACTATATCTTAAGTTCAAAAGAGACAATCCTATAATATCTCATATGTTTGATTTAATGAACCCAGTAGGTTCTATTTATACATCTATGGAAGCAAGAGGTCCTCAAGTAATGTTTGGTGTTGGTGCATGGGAACAAATAGTCGACAGGTTTTTGTATTGTGCAAACTCTTCAAAGGAAACAGGTGGAAGTAAAACAATTTCAGGTGAAAATTTACCTGCACACAGTCACTACATAGATTTAAGTACATCTCAAGCGGGTTGGCATAAGCATAGATATTGGGATTGGTCAGGAATGACAAAAGGTAAAGGATATGATGTTAAAGATGATGTTAAGTTTGCTATAAATTGTTACTGGGATGACACTCAGGGAGAAGGAAACCATACACATTTCGTTTCAGGATATACACAAACAACGGGACAAAGTAAAGAATACATGCCACCATTTATGACTGTATTCGCATGGTATAGAGTTCATTGAACGGCATAATTTAAATTTTTATTTTTATAGAAATGACAAAATTAATTAAGCCAACTATTTCTAAATTAATGATACCAATGAAATCATTTCATGGAGTACTTATCCCAGGTTCTTCACAATTAGCCGGGGTAAGTGTTGTGGCTCAAGGTGGAACATTAGCGAATCCATTCAAATTATTAACTAAAGATGAATTTAATAAAATGACCCAAAAATAAATGTTTACGTTAATAAGGAAGGCAGTTATGAATTATTTTTGAAGAACTGAAGGTGTCACCAGGTCATTTAACTTCTCTGAAAAAGTGTGACAACATGACATTTTGACAACAACACAGGAGGAAGGTATTTATGAATTATTTTTGAAGAACTGAAGGTGTCACCAGGTCACCAGGTAATTTAACTCATGACATTTTGACAACAACACGGGTTATTCAATAATGACTTATTTTTGAAGAACTGAAGGTGTCACCAGGTCATTTAACTTCTCTGAAAAAGTGTGACAACATGACATTTTGACAACAACACAGGAGGAAGGCAGTTATGAATTATTTTTGAAGAACTGAAGGTGTCACCAGGTCACCAGGTAATTTAACTCATGACATTTTGACAACAACACGGGTTATTCAATAATGACTTATTTTTGAAGAACTGAAGGTGTCACCAGGTCATTTAACTTCTCTGAAAAAGTGTGACAACATGACATTTTGACAACAACACAGGAGGAAGGCAGTTATGAATTTTCATGTATTTTCTCAAGATAGAAAAATAACGTTAGTTTTATTTTTTCTAACTTTTTATTTTGTATGTAAGAACAGTAATGTCGGTCGAAGCAAAAACATTCACTAACAAATCTAATGGTGAAACATTCACAAAAGGCACTTATAACGGTATTGAAGTCTTACGTAGAGACAAGGATGGTTACATTAATGCAACAAATATGTGTAAGCAGTTTAGGAAAGACTTTAGAAAGTTGTTGGAAAATAAGTCCTGGGAAGAGGATTATAAGGCATTTTGTGAAGAATATAGCAACCGTCTGAATTCCGACGGTTGCTTTTTATACAAAATTCATGCAGGAATTCCTGATGAAATCAAACAGGTTAGAGGAACGTATGTAGACCCAAGACTTATAAACTATATAGCAATGTGGGCTTCTCCAAAATATTGCATAGCAGTTGGAAAAATTATGGATTCCATAGACAAGAAAGTTCATGAGAAGTTAGATGAAGAAGAACTCGAAGATACAGTAGAGAATGCTAAACCTTTGTTTGAAGAAGAAGTTAGAAAAATGTGCGAAAAACAATTAGAACATGAACGTGAGATATGTTATGGTTATAGAGATTCTCCATACGAACTAGACCAATGGGAACAAGAAAATTTAAAGAGAGAATTTAGAGAATATGAACTCGCTAAGATAGCATTAGAAGCTGCAGAAAAGAAGTTAAAAGCTTGGGGTCGTTTTGTACAAAAATATTGTGAGTAAATGTTTTCAGGTTATTCAATAATTAATTATTTTTGAAGAACTGAAGGTGTCACCAGGTCACCATGTGTCACCAGGTCATTTAACTTCTCTGAAAAAGTGTGACAACATGACATTTTGACAACATTTACGAAAATTTGATGCAGTCCAAAAATAAAGTTAGTTTTAAAATTATTTTTATTTTTTTTATTCCTATATAAATGACAGCAACAAACAACAACAGCAACTTTATCGTTTCTGATGAAAAAGTTATTGATTCATTAGCTGAGGAATTAGTTGTGGCAGAAACTAAAACCCTCAACGAAAGAATTGGTGAAAACAGGATTGATTTACATAACTACCTCAAATATGATGGAGGAAGAGGAAGGAAAACTGGTATGGCTTTATTAGTAAATAAAATTTCAAATTTAACGATTATAGATGTTGATATCAATAAATCGTACAATGATGAACTTAAAGAAACAGTTAGAAAAGACATTTTATCAAAACTTTCGGATAAAGATGTTATCGTTAAAACCGCATCAGGAGGTCTTCACATTTATTGCAACACTAATTTCTTCTATTCAACCTCAAACAGAATGATTAAATGTTATTCTTGCAATGATTATGATATTGACATAATGACTTCAATGGCTGATTCAAAGCGTTCTTTAGTGGTTATGGCTGAATCAAGAGTTCGCAAGAATGCAACAGAACCAATCAATACATACTCATTCATTCGTGGAAGTTATGATTCAACATTAACTAGAACAGTGAATGATATATTAAATGATTTGAATATTAAGGTAAGAGTTGAACAGAAGAACGAAGAAATAAAGAGTATAATGAATGAAAACAAAGATGTAAACATTGACGATAAACTTGCCCAGAGCATAGTTGATGGCATCAGTGATTTTGAAGTACATAATGACGGTGGAAACATGAATTTGGAAAAAGAAGTTACATTATTCACACTGTTTCAAGCAATTAATTCGTTACCTAATCATTTAATTAATGAAGCATACGATAACGTTTATAACTTCTGCAGTTTAACAGAAAATGCTAAAAGTAATTTTGAAAAAGCACGTAGTAGATATGCACATTTAATGACTTCTCCATTTGTTTTAGTGAAGATTCTAAAACTTTATCAAAAGGAATATTATGATGAATATGTTTTACCTTTATTACGTAAGCCAAAAATAACATTTGATATCAAACTTGATGACTCGTTTTTGATAACAGATATTAGACGCAAGGCTGAAAATCATCAGTATAAAAACAGTTCTGAAGTAATTGAGGATTTATCACGTGTAATCCGTTTTGTAGATTGTGGAAATAAATATTTCATTCAAAAGGACTATAATATTCATGATAAAATGAATCAAATATCATTCGTTCTTCAATCAAACATGAAAGAGTCACTCAAAATGATTAAATTATTTAAAGAAGAAGGTAAAACAACAACAGCATGGGATGTACTACTAAATCAATTATCCTCATTAACCGTTAAGGGTGTTTGCTTTAAATCTGATTCTCCAGATGTTTTCTCAACGTTTCAGGGTTATAAATACAACGTTCTCGAAAAGCCCGATTACTCAAAAATTGAGATGTTTATGAATTTCATTAAAGAAGCCATATGTGATAATAATGATGAAGTGTATAAATACCTTCTCGGCTGGATTGCATCAATGATTCAACATCCTGGAATCAAGAATGAAACAGCAATTATTTTGAAAGGACTTCAGGGAACAGGTAAAAACAGATTTACAGACATTATTTCTGAACTTCTCGCTGGTTATTCATGTAAAAACATTACTGAAATAAGTGAGCTAACGGGTAATTTCAACTCAGTAGTTGAAAATAAAATATTTCTTGTACTTAATGAACTCAAGAATGTAGGTGAAGACAGACTCGCAAACTTCAACGCTTTGAAATCAATTATAACGGATAATGAGATTAGAATTAATGAAAAGAATCAACCCAGAAGAACTGCTCAGAATGTTGCAAACTTCATTTTCGTAACTAACAACGTTTACCCTGTCAAAATTGAAGTTGGAGACAGAAGATACGTAGTTTTAAGAGTTAATGGTAAATTCAAGGGTCAATTTGATTACTTCAAGAATTTGATGAATTCATGCACTAAGGAATTTTATGATAATTTACTGACGTATTTTATGCAATATGACCTTTCATCATTTAATGTACGAATCATACCGATGACTGAAGCCAAACAAGATTTAATTGAATTATCAACAAATCCTTTAGATGTATGGATAAATACACATTATGATGAATTGTGTACAGGTATGACGTGTAAAAATGCTCTATTCTGCAAACCATCAGACATGAAAGACAAAAACTTTCAAATGAGTATTAAGGATAAATGTGATAGGAAACAGATAAGAATAGATGGTAAACAAACATGGTGTTATGTTTTGAAAGAAGAAATGAAAGGATTATATAAACAGGTTGAACCAAACGATAATGAGGAATCATTTACTGACGATGAAATACCTGTAAATGAGGCAGTATAAAGTATGATTGGAATTTATTTTTGCATTCTCTTGTACCTGTTGTCAAAATGTCATGTTGTCACATTTTTTCAGAGAAGTTA